TACCTGCTGATCCAGACCTGGACTCACAGACCAACATCCTCCCCTGTCCCTGGATGGGGCTGGTGATCACCAGGCTGTGCTTGGCCCTGGTCACCCTCCCCACAGCTGCTCTGCTCCCTTGCTTTAGCTGTTTTCCCTGTCCACAGGAGCTGCTGACCCCTGTTGGTGAGCTCAGGCGCCCTTGAACCCTGAGCTATGAACCATGGGCTGCACATGGGCTACCCCTGCTGCTCCCCCTGAGTCAAACACCATGGCCCAAACTCAGGACCCCATTTTCTCCCCTCTGCCAGCTCATACTGCTTCCTGTTCCTCGCTACATACACATCCCTTCTCAAGAACTTAAGCAAGCACGAATTCACCCAATCAGAAACTCCCTCACATATGCGAAATAGTGATAAAATGCACTTTGTATCCACACTGCACGAGCTAACTTCTCTTTAATTATTAATTTGCCTTTGACTAGTAAACATTCTTTTTCATTTAATAGAAATAGGTAGAAAGGTTATGGTGGTGGTGCTATCAATAATCAAGTTTCAAAATAAATTGCATTCTATGTTTTACATGCACACAAAATGTTTTGAAACATTTACTTTCTAGCTTTCTAGCTGTTTTCCAGTAGAACATAATTTTCAAACTGAGTCAAATTTATTCCGTTACTTTGCAGCTACCCACAAGTTAAAAAAAGAAGAACTGTTAGAAATTTAATAATATTCTTCTTGAAGGAAAGCTACTTAAAAAAACACTTCATGCAGGAAAGTGGGAGGTTGGTATGTCATGGGCCTAATCCCAGCAGATTTAACCAGCTAAATAAATCAGGATGGCAGCACTTGGAAATCACAGTATGTACAAAAACTTAAAATCTTGCCATTAGGGACCCATTCCAAAGCTCACGGGAATCAGTTGTGGAAATCTTTACATAGCCTCCTCTAAGCTTTATAGTCTTAAACCCATTTTTGATGCAAGCCCCCAATATGAAGGTGATTTCTTGAGAAAAAACACAAAGGCATTTTCATTTTAAAGCACACATTTAAAAAGTCACTCTCCTATACACAGACTCACGAAATTCTTTCCTTCTGCTCTTTGAAAGAAGTCTCAACTGTCCATTGCATCTCACACAACAAAACTAAATGGCTATCGAAGTTGTATTTTCTTGTGCTCACAGTGTATTCTCAACTACATGCTTCAATATAAAGTTACATACAAATGGTTAAAACGGTAATGGACACACATAATTATTCATACATAATTATTTATACTATATCTTATATTCCTAAGAGGCCGTGAATAAGTTTTCCTAATGAGATGATAGAAATAAAGGTAAACTTAACTGGGATGGGTATACTTCTGTAATATATTATAAGTAATTAACTGAACCACTGAATATTGTACCACTTATGTGATGAATGCTTTAGAGCTACTGTGCTCACATGTGCCACTGCAGAGCAAATGTAGTACAAAGCCCTAACTTTTGACCTCCAAATTACAAACAAAAATCAAAATGCAGTTTGAATTTCTCTATTTAAAGAACATGGCATGCAGGAGTAAGAATAAGATATTCTTAGGGTTAAGCCATCCAATACCATTATATGGCATGCCTTGCTGCATTACTGTTCTCATGAAAAATGTTTTATATGGATAAATGTTTTGGGGTTTTTATTTTTAATTTTTTTTTGTTCCACAATTTTTGCCAATGTTATTCCATATCTACTCCTCTATCCAGAATACATTTACAGAGGAAATTGTCACCACTCAGATATTAAAAAATAAACAGAATCTTTCAAATGGCTTTATTATTTTTTTTCCTTTATAGTGTTGGAAATGTGTCACTATAGTATTTAAATATGAATTTAATTAAGATACCAGTGGTTAGAGAGGATTATTCCCCTCCTCTGTCTACCATTCTTAAAAAGAAAGGTTAGTGGTACTTTAGTTGCTGCTACCCTCTGTGTGGCGCTGTGAATTTCAGAAAACTTTTAATCAAACGTTTTAATTTTATGTTCTATTCTGAGAGATGTTCAGAACGGGAATCTGATTTTTCAATTACATTGTCTGCAAAGTCATGTTTTAGTAAACAGTACAGGAGAAACATCTGAGAAGACAGTCTTGTGAAACAAGTTAAATATTACTTAATGAAGAAGTTGGATTTGTACTGAATTACAAACCAGCCTTGTGAAACAAGGAGTGCTCTTCAGCACTGAGTCTCTCACTCAGTTCTCTAACACTTATATCAATGACAGAACACACAAATGCCTAATTCTGCATTGAGGCAAGGAGAAGAGAAATAACAAAGCTGAACTACTAAGTTGACCTAGGCTGCCTCTGCAGAAGCTTAGTCAGAGGTCAAAACATTGTCAAGCAATAGGATGTTACAGGCAAAATGTATTTTTCAGGAGAGAGTTCAGCCAGTCTAAGCAATGTTCAGGATCAGACCTAGAAATGAAGAGGCAGGAGATTTTTCAAGTCCTCCAAGAAGCCTTTATCAACACTGTTCTTGTGGGCCTGATTGGAATAGAAATCTAAGTTACTGATAGCTCTCTTAGATGTAAAACTACTTGTGTCTACACTGGCAATTAGTGTGCCATAGGGATTCTTCCTAGGCATTGCCTTGGAGTCTCAAAGTATGCACATGAGCTCAGCAATGTTGTTCCTCGAATAGTTCCCCTTCTGATGGAACTAAGGATGAAAGTGCTCACCATTATGTGTGCAGTTTGCCATCCAGATCAGTGTCCTCCAGCAGTTTGCACTTTGCATATATACTGTGTGTACTCAGGGCCAGTATCTGGCATGAACTTCACTGCCAGGTGAAGAATGGATGTTGTCATGGTCTGGCAACCAGAACAAATTGCTTTAAATCAAATTCTACTGCTTCTGTCTTTGCAACCTTATCAGTCAGTGATGTAGTCATACCCAGTAGGACCTTCATTGGGCAGCAACTTGAATCACTTCTCTCAGCAGTCAAGTGTTCTTTCTGTTTCTGCTAAATTTCTAAAGGATGAAGTCTTGGTCTATTTTCAGCAGGGGAACGTGGTCACTGGTTTTACAAACACAAGTATCATGGGGCTCTTACAGAACACAGTGCACTTCCATTACGGAGCTTGTGTGCCATGAACTTTAAGCAGATCAAAAGCAAGACTGGAAGGATCCTGCCTGACTAATGTATAAGTATGTAGTTGTGTTCTATGAGTAAGAAATGTTAGTCAGTGCAAAGGCTCATGTGGGTGTAAGGTTGTGCTGATAAGCACAAGATAGTTCCACTTCCAAGTTCTTGGAGAATGCAGTTACTTAAGCTGATTAGACTGGATTCTACCCAGTTTTACATCAGGTATGCCAAAGCAAAATTAATTAAATTTTGCATTAATTTATAAAAAATAATTAATATCAGTCACAGTAAAAGAACCTTCTTGTTTTAAAAAGCAGTTCCAAGAATAGCTACTGCCTACAAAATTGCACCTGATATCACATTTTAGAGATTCAAATATAGCTTGGAAAACAACATGAAAGTGCTAAAATAGGAAGGAAACATCCATAAATGTGCCATGCTTTCCCTCCTGAATGATCTTCAAAACAGAAAAGCAGAATAAATTTTGAAGCAAATTATCTTAAATTTATCCAAGAGAGCTATTTTTGTTCACTAGCAGAATGGAAAATTGAAGTTAACTGCAGAAAAAGTAAGGTGCTATAGGAGTCAGTCATCATTATAAAACTAAGAATATGCACGTTTACCAACTCAGTGATCTCTTAGTTTTCAGTAAGAAGAAAAAGAGAGGTTTTTCAGCTCATTTCTGAAGAGAAAATTGAAAAGTTGAGTGTGAGCCACTCAATAAGTAATCTAATTATACTAAGCTATCAAATGTTTTCTTTTAAAGCCTATATCATGAGTTTCTGAGGCCCTGCTCAAGAGTTTGAGCTCCTAGTTTTATACCAATATCATGATAGTCTATTTCACTTTGATATTCCCATGTCTACAGAATTTGGTTGAAAATAGTACAAGGAAATACATATTTCAAATACAAATTTCATTTTGTCAGTGAAACACTTTTATTAGTTTCATCTTTTTACAAATTACTAATTAGTGGCCTCCATTCAAGATTAGTTTGTCATAATAAAATAAAATATGTGAAACAATAACAGAGGATTTGAATAGCATATTTGTGGGAATTCATTACCATAACTAAGGGGGGGGGGAAAGTATCTATCAATACTTACCAAACTACAAGGAAAAGAATTGTGATATGCATACCACAAGCAAAATGAATGTATCACAGCTACACCTCCTTATTTTCCATCACATTTAAAAGTGAGCTAGTAGAAAACAGCTCTAAGCAACAATCTTTAAGTCAGTGAACTCACATTAAAGAGATCAATGCAGACTAGGTACTTGTAGAAAAAGTCTCTAGGAATGAGATGAACTCCACCTTCTGAAGGACTATGGGTAAAATGGGAAACATATATAAATTTTTAAATGGCCAAGATTTCCCTGCCAGGTCACAGTGGTTGATAAGCGAATATTTTTATTTGAGGCTCTGCTTCCATGGTAAATTACAGAACTTAGGCACTGGTGGGTTCTAATGGTTAAAATTTACCATCTTCATATTGCTGCTTTGAATAATTTCTCTACGTGCATATGTGCATTTTACATACATATATATATGTTAAAAATCATAAGGACTCCCTACTGGAAAGAAAAAAGGAATCAGAAGGCCTTTTAAGAAAACAGACAAACAAGCCTCTAATAGGAGATTATAGGAATATACTTGCACGATGCGATTAATTCAAATGTTTTCATACTGTTAACCTCAAGATGCACCAAGTACATTTAATTTTTCTTTAAGTAAACAGACTTAGGATTTTACTGTGCTACCTAATAAGCACTTCTCCAGTAATTTATTCTCTTTGGAACTATAACTATGAACTTCACTTCTTAGGGATTAATGAAACACAGTGATGCATGACATGAATGGCTTATACAGACTGCAGGAAGAGAAGCCAGTCACCTTTACCTGAAGTGGGAGACTTGCAACGCTCTAGCTCCAGGGAAACTGGACTGTCACTGAGTTCAGTCAGGCCTGAAAAAATGGAGTTAAAGAGTTAAGTTACAATCTAACAGGGCATGCTTTAACTTTCTAGGTTGATGATATTCTGAACTTTAAAGGCAATTTGGAGAAAAGAATGGTGTGAAATAAGAGGAAAATATCTATTTCAGATAACTGCAGTTATCAGGCTGTCACTGCAGAAATTTAGGTTTGGTTTAAAAAAAAAATCACACCTCTTGTTAACTCAGATTTGTTTTCCGAGTGCCTTGGGATAGAAAAGAGTAACCTAACAAAACAAAACAAGAAAGTATAGTTTAAAATGTAAAAGTCTGTGATATGAATAAAACTCATTTGTCCCTGTCAAACTGATGTGGAAACTCTGCTTTCAACTGCTGCAGAATGCAGGGAGGAAATCTTAAAAGAGGGGAGGAAAAAAAAATAAAATCACCACTACTGTTCCATATTAGGAACTTCTGTATGAATTCACACAAAATAGATCATTTTAAAGGACATGGAGGTATTGATAATGCTGTCTGAGTATAACACAGAATTTTTGGACAAGATGCTTTATATATTGTTCATAAATATTTGTGAGGAACTCAGTCTACATGGAAGACAGCAACATATAAAGCAGCCCTAGTCTATACTGCTTAAGCTTGGGCTTGTTTCTGTGACCCAACCTTTGGCACAGGTTGAATGAACAAGTTCAAACATGCCTTTTGGCATAGAAGGGAGGGAAAGTCTGAGCTCGTGCTATCCTTTACCACGTTGAGTGGGTGAACTGGGTACGGCCACACCTATTCAAACGCACCCTTCCTATGTATCCCGTAATGCCCTGTGGCCTGTATCAAGGGGTTCACCCTTGTTACATGGAGCTCTGGCACTGCATGCCATAGGCTATGTGGGTCTGACTGAAAGCCCAGCACCAGACCTACAGATGGCACTATGGACTCACAGCATTCAGGTCAGAGCCAAGTGAACATCAGCCCGCAGTCAGATGTACAGTATTGTTGTACTGATACTGTATTTACACACATGCTGCTCATGTCACTTCCTGAAAATCAAACATCCTACAAGAACCTTTCAGTATGCTTTAATGTGGCACCAAAAGATTACATGTTTTAATATTTATCGCTCCTGAACTCAGGCCCAGAGTCCCTTATCTCTAAAATTCATATACACTCTTGTCTCAAAAAATTCTGCTACCATTTGGCCACCAATGCTGTTCTCTTAGTGTTGAAAACAATGGAATCTTAATGCAGGTACTGACAACTTTGTGACAAGAACTGGGGAGAGTCCAGAGCCCCAACAAGCAGAACAAAAAAGCTTCTACCACTAACAAAGATGCAGGAGTGCAAGAATAATATTGAGAGTCCTTTGGAAAAGCAGCAGTTCATTTGGCCTGTAACTCAGTATTAATGACATACTTGTTCCTGACTTTCAAAAAACAAGAGATCATAAACTAGCTACTATTGTTGAAGACCAGAGATCTTTTGTTTTGAGAGACATGCTTGAATCCTTCTCTGATTCTCTGAGAGAATTTTATATTTCAGTCATGAGTCCAACATCACTTTTGATGTTATGAGACTATTCATAACATAATGATTCCCCATCACTTAGGGAGCCTCTCTATGTATAGTTTTCTTACAGCAAATCTTAATTCTACTTGACCCTGAGGTTTCTGTACGTACCTAGAGATTTGGAACAGAATTGATTTTTGCTGCAGAACTGTCTGCAAGGTGCAGTGGGAGAGAGTTTGGCACATTTGCATAGCATCAGAGGCCTTGGATGAATAAAATGAAATATTACACTGTTTCTTTTCTAAGTGCATATTAAAGTTTTAACGCCTTATCATGTTCTAAACCTTGGATAGTTAGTACTGGTGTCAGTTACAATGTCAAATCCCAGGTCAGATTTTACTTCTAAATAGTGTGGTGTGGTTTTTTTGGTTTGGTTTGTTTGTCTGTTTTTTAACTGTGAGTTCATAAAAACAATATTACATCTCAATATAAATTATAGTGCTACAGACCCAGGAAATGCACCAAACCACACCACCCAAGAGCAATCACCATAAGAATACCATGAATTTTTTTTACAACATACAACATTAAAGGTACGTCTCATGTGATGATATCTATAAATGGTGAACATGTGAACTTCTCTACAAATCTAGACTTGCTGTCAAGCTACTATCACCTTTAATAATGACCACCAATAGATGCTTTTAAAGGAGAAGTGCAGTATGTCCCCATCTTAAATGTAAGTGGCACCATGTGCCCTGCACAAGACTATTATCTTAGATAGTTAGATTTGCTTAAGCGCTGCCACTCACAGATTTTCTCCTGCCATAAATCTTTCTTGCTTAGAAATATTACAAGTTATTGTCATTACCCACCCATTTGTCCAAAGTCTCTTTTGATTTTGCTAAATTCTAAATTCTGAAGATGTTACAAGGCAATGAATTGCACAGTCATCATTCACGGAAAAGAATAAACATCAATTTGTCAATTTTTATGTTACCTTTGATTCCACTAAATGTCATTTTTTATTTCCCTTTGAGATAAGAGGAGATCTCAAGCTGTTCTTTGTACTACTGCTCATTTTCTACTGTAATTTCCTTTTTAAGGAGATCAAGCTAAATACTTCCACGGACTTCAGCTTCTATTGAATGTTTGAGAGACTATAACAGCTACTGAAATTACATTACAAAAATATTTTTGCTTTCCATTTTGAAGTTCTGTAGGCACAATTTGTGCCCCAAGATATTTTAGCAATTTTTAGCCAAGAAGTCCACCATCCCAGCAAATTTTGAGTCCACCTGAAGCAAGAATGTAGCAACAAAACTAAAGGCAAATAACTGAGATTGGCAATGTGAACAATCACCTGTGAGAAGATATACCCATTGACACAATAAAGAAATTTGCTTTGATTTGAGCAAATCCAATGTGTGTTTACATGTTTAAATAGTGCAAGATGTAAATATATCACACAAGGCATTAAATCACTTCTAAAGACATGTCCCGTGCATATTTTTCAAAGGTAACTGTGATTCCCATTTCCTCTTCATTAAAGGATCAAAAAATGTACTGCCTAGTATGAAGTAATTACGATCTCTTAATTTGAAATTATTTTTTAGATTTTAAATTTCTATCTCTATGTTTAAATGATTCAGATGGATCATTTACTTTAAAGTACCCAAAGCCATAATATATGTTCCTATAAATAAATGAATTGTAAATAAATTATCATAAAAATTCACAGGTCAATGTAAGCCCAGTGCTACTCTAATCCATCATCTTCGCACTGAAATACCATACTAGGTTTTGTTTGTGCTTATAGATACATATATATATGTGTGTGTGTGTGTGTGTGTGTGTGTGTATGCCTGTATTCTTTGGAAATTAGTCAGTTCAGAATATAGCTGTTGACTTAAAACTCAACCTATATTAGCTTCTTAGGTGTGATTTAAAGTGTCAATTACTGATATGTAATGGCTCATAACACACAGTCTTCTGTGTCCTCTTGTCAGACCAAGGTTACTTTTGCTGACATCCTCTCAAGGGACTGGCCTGAAGGAGGAAGGATTTCTCACTGAAAGGTCTTCATTATGAAAATTATTTTCCAGTGTTGCAACATCCTTTGAATCTGACAACTTTTTGGGTGCTTCATAAAGACTATTTATTTTCTTGTTCTTCCAACAGATGGTATGAATTTCTAGTAGGAGATGCAAATTCCTTTTGCATCATTTTGGTATTTTTATATTCTGCTGCAAACATTATCTGCCTAGATGCAGTAAACGTACTTGTTTTAATATTTGAATATATGTTACCGACCACCGGGTAACATATTCAACTTGATTTCAACTAAAGAAAAAAAAAAAGAAAACCAACCAACAACATAATTCTGCACTACTGCAGAGAGAATTTATTTTTTTACCTTGTCATGTATTCTTGCTACAAAGCAAGGTGGCTGCAGATATTACAGCAAATGGAACTAGCATCAGTACTAGAAAGCAACTCTCAGCTCTGCACTTACCCTCATCTCAGCTTCTGTTTTTTTCCTCAAATTCCTTCCCTGCTAGGACAATTATGTTTCAATCTCTCCCATCACATATACCTAGAACTGACTGCATTTCTTCCCTTCTTGCTTTCCTTTTCCCACTTTCACCTCTCAAACCAGCAAATGTGTTGTCTTCATGCTCTAAGTCCACTCAAGGTGCATTTGAGTCTAGCTTACATATGTAATTGTTATCAAGTTCTCTATAGATTTATCAGCTAAAATTCAAAACAATTATTCCACCACCATGCTTTGCATACTGGATGTCCTTGACATTGTTGACTGTCTTTCCTTTGCAAAACCTCTCTTCTCCAACATAGTGCTTCTTTCATCTGACGCTTGTTTTTTTTTTTTCCTTTTCCTCCTCACTTGCAAGACATCCTAGACTGAAATATCAACACTTCCTTTATCTCTCTGACCCAGCATTTGATTAGGGTGAAGAACTGAAGAGATTCTTTTGTATAAACATGACAATAATTATAAATATACATATTTTTTTCCCTAATGATTCATAAATACACAGATCTAACTTGGATTTTTTCCATCCAAGATAGAGTAATAATCTTGTCTAAAATTTACTCAGAAGTGTCCAAGTATGAACTTAACACTGTCAAGATGACCCCTACCTTCTTTTTGTACTGAAGTCTCCACTGTGTCAACAGAGCTAGCAGCACCACTGAATTCGCTGGAACTCTAACCCATTATATTGGTAACATTCTTAGAAGATCATAATCTAACTCTCATATTCAGGCTGGATACTAAATTACACTGTTTCTTCCTGCAAATCAGCTCTAAAATGACCAAGAAAAGTCTCAGTATCTTGCTCATTGATAATCTCTTCTTTGATTTCAATGCCTACAAGTAATTCTCTCAAACTGATCCTCATGAATTGTCTTCTTGGTTCATTACTTAATTTAATCTACTACTCATATATCTTCCCATTAACTTCCATTTTCATTTATACAACCCTGAAAACTTTAGACCTAATGCTTATGTTATGACATGACTACTCTTGGTTTTGTCATAATAATATCAGCTGCACAATTTCCAAAAATAATTTACTTTTCCCATCATTATCCCTTACAAGAAGAGATAAAGTTGTAAGCAAAATCCTAAATCCTCTCTGAATACCCCCCTTAAAACTCACATCTCAGATAAGACGTATAACAAAGCACAACTCGAGAACGACTTAGCAAGATATTTTCAGTCTATGACACATTCTGGTCCTGTTCTTGATCTTATTGCCTTGTGTGTCTTTCAGATTATACAGCATGTACTCCTGTATAAGTATCAAATAACAAAATCAAGAACCAAGTGTTTTTTGAGGAGAGAAATGAAGCTGTTAATGATCTTGCCTAAAAGTCAGACTCATACCCTTCAGTTAGGATGCATACAGGAAGATTTTGTGGACTTTTTTGATTCTATGTTTGAAGATGGAAACAGGATAATAAATTTTCAGTTATGAAAAACTCTATGGTCTGTGTTCGTAATTCTGAATGAAAACACTGGTAATTTTTGGTCTTAGAATTTATTAATTTTTTACATGGGAAAAACCCCAAACCTTTAACTGCTGTCTGTCTCTTGGGTTCTCTGTTATAGATGGGAAAATAGCAAGATCAGACTAAGAGACTTCAGGATATCATACACCAAACCTTTTTGTGGACTGCTAGATTTGTAACTGGACATGTCTTTTAACGAAGCAGACCACCTTTTATGAACTATTATGAAATAAAATCGTAGAAATCTGGCTAGAGGGATGGAACAGCTTTTCTCCTGCACATGTACAAATGTATTTCAATAGCTACATAAGTCTGTATTTATGTGAGATGATAAAACAACTGCCACTCTTTATCTTGCCCATACTGAATATTTAACATAAAATTGCCTATCCAGTTGTTCTGTGAAAACTACTTTAAAAAGAGTTGAATAAGAGGCATCCTAGAGACCTAATTACATATAAGCATTGCAGTTAATTAAGATACATATGGCTCATCTGTTGAACAGTCAATTTGCAAAATTAATTACAGCTTTGTTCATTGCATTCTGCACTGATGAATACTAATATTTAAATTGCATATCTGTATAATTCAAAATTTAAAGATATTAAAAACATTAATTTTCATAGCTCTCTTTGATGTATATATTTTTATGTCCACTTTACATTCCCCATCAAAGATCAGAGACACGGGATGGTTCCCCAAAGACAAATATTCAAGTACCAAACCAAGATTAAAATTTTAAATTTTATAGCACCCAATTCAATGGGTGCACTTCTAAGCCACATTGCTCTTCTGAAAAAAGGGATGAATTAATTGGTAACTACAACCAAATAGTGCCATTGCAAAACAAGAAATGCTTCATATAAGTAAACGTACACAGAAATGAATAGAAAACCAAAGAAAGATACTGTCATCAAGAACATAACATTGCTGAAAAATCATTTCTAAGGCCCAATTTGTCCATATAACACTGAGGTTTTCTCTTGGACTCTTTTGGAAGAAAAAGGATATCTGTATAATAAAGATAATTGTCAAAACTAAGCATGGTTGACATAATAAAATGTAATAAGTTTGCATGCATGCTGAATGTGTTTAAAAAACACATTACGAAGCACAAACACATGGGTTTAAGTCAGGCACAGTCCAATCATGATAAAGCTATTTGCCTAACCTTTATAGAACTTACTCTGATAGGAAGTACGGATCCGTTTCGTTAAATCTGGATAAAAGTTAGACAGGCCACGCATGCAAAAGTTGTCTTTGGAACATGCCAGTACACCAGCATCAGCAGCAGGCAGAGGAAAGAGAGAAAAAACAGTCTAAAGTGAAAGGAAGTGATATCATAACCAGCATCTAGAACAGCCATGGTGAAAAAATTTCAGCAGATGCTTACCTTCCAATTGGGAGATATAACAAGAAAAATAATCAAAAAAGTAAGGGATGTGGGATGGATGGTGAGAAAGCAGCTGAGGCTTTTTTTAGATGCATAGTTTCCATGAGCAATCTAGAAGTGTGTATTCCTTCTTAGCGGTCACTTATCCCCAGTGGGCTCCTTTCTAGCAGCACTGCAGAGCTGGAATGATGCCTTAAAGGATTGGCCCAGACTGGCCCTGACAGAGAAATCCTACATGATACAGTGCTGATAACTGCTTTTTCTACATGCACAACCCTCCACCTTTTGTACAGGGTTCTGCAGATGTCACTTGTGGTGAGCTACTCAAATTACTTTGGGAGCTGCTGTGAGGCTGGCTGAAACCAGACAGAGAAGCTGAAGGTAGCTTGAAGCTGCTTGTCTCTTCTCTCCTCAGCTGTGCCAAATTTAAATATTTAACACTTGGCACAGATGAGAACTAAGCTTTGCTATGATTAAATGCATAAAAAGTGAGATAAATGGTCTTTCAGGAACAGAAGTAGGCCTGAAGACTTACATTTTATTTTCTAAATTTTACTTGCTGTTTGGAGTGCAAACATATTCCCAATCTAAAAAAAGATTTCCCATGACTCTGTGGAGAAATACTAATTGATGATTTAGTGCAGGGTCTGCTGGTGAAAATGCTGATGTCATAAACCCACTATAATCTGTTGCTTTCATAATTTTGTGGTTGGATTTAAAACTCCACATTTTCAAAGAGATTTTTAAATCTGATTCTAAAACTTCACAGCTATGTAAAACACATTTCCTAATTGTGTCTGACTCTAGCACATTATTATGGAGTATGTCTAGTGAAAAGACTTGAAACATAGATTATTTTTTGACTTTTTCTCATGCAAGAAGTAAATTTTTTAATAACCAACAATGTATGGCAAAATTTAGATGTATTGAAGTACTAATATTTCTAACACACAATGCATAATAACAGTTATGACTTACAAATGTGATCCTCTTAGCATCAAATTTTGAAATGGGGCACAGCTGGATGTTGTAGGTTTATACCAAGAACTTTAGTTCACTAACAAAGTGCTTAATTTGAGCTACTTGTGCTACCTATATAACACATCTCCCTGGTGTTATACTTCTCTAAACAAAACTGACTATTCAAATGAAGAGTACCTGGCAGAAGATACATTTAAGTTTAAATTGAAGTCTTACTTATTGGTATGAACTTACTGAAGACAGAAAGAAAACAGCATACAAACTATACTTCAAGTGACTGCCAGAGAAAAAATTTATGATTTTGTACAGACTCAGCTAAGGGAATTACTTGCTGACCTCCATCCCAAGAGAAAAAACTTTGTAAACCATTTTGTTTCTGAGAAAGTGCCCGTACCTAAAGCAGGTCAGGTTTCTTTTGTCAAGTTATAGAAACTCCATTGGCTGGCAAATAGTCATGCATTTCAAAAGCACTGTAAAAAGCCACAGGCAAAAAAAACCAAGGAACACATCAGGCTCATAACCACACTGATTTATTTCCTACCTGCAGCAAACTGCCTGCTTTTGCGAGGTGAACGGGGTTGCCGCTGGTATGGATCACTCGATCCGTACAGGTCAAGGGTTCCCATGCTCAGCAGTACTGTCTTCTGCATAAAGTCCACGACAGCCAGACCATTGCAGTTCCCAAATGCCACTCTGAGAAAAGAAATGTTCCTCAAAGGTATTAGTAATGTGTAATTAAGTTACTCAAACAATAATTGTCTGTTATTATGAATTCTGCACAAACTTCTCAAAGGTTATATTTTATGGTTTTTACAGATTTGTAATCCTGAATTTATAAAAATGTTTCCTGAAACACAGTAACTGACTTTCCAGAAAGCAGATTTACAACTATTACTAACTTTCTGTGCCAAACACATTGCAGTAATGTCTGAATGTTGCTTCACTAAACAGTATAATTCTAGTAATAATGATATAAATTAAGCCTGCAAATCTGGACATAGACCTTAAAAAGTGGTTATGCATTTGTATAAAATACAAATATAAATTAGGATATAAATACAAATACATGCAGAAATAATTATTTTAAGCTAAATATAAATGAAAAATGAAATACATTAAGCTGTATTATGGAGATACCCAAATGTGAAAGTAAAATTTTCTTTCAACTCTGTCAGCTTAGCTACAGCACAGATTCCTGTTAAAACAGTCTCTACCCCTCTGAAATGCTTTTACAAATGGTATTTTGATAGTGGTTTGATTCATGGGCAAGATCTCTCTTGTTTTGTATCAGACTGCAATTTTAAATCTCAGATGTAAAGGACTGCAGGTACAGCCACAAGGAAACTCAAAAACTCAAACCATGCTCAATCATACTAAGAATCATTTCTTATCAAGTTCTGTCATTTTATGTAAAAAGTGATGAAGGTGGTCAGTTCAAAGGCCTGCAAAATATTCAAGCACTTAATTCACACTAAAAGTGAGACGTGCACTCACCTCCACCTGACTCTTCTTAATATAGCTCCAAATATCTGATAGGAATTTGTGTGTGGAAAAACAATAAGGCAAGAGAAAAGTAATGAGATGGAGGAAAGGGAAGCAGGGTAGCTAGAACATTTCCCTCTCTTCTACCTTTTCTTATGCTGCTTCCATTACAAAAAAGAGAGCTCCATATAGCAAATAGAAAAGTAATATGTAAAGTAAAATGAAGTGATTTTCCCTTAATTGCCAAACTAGCAAATTAAGGCATCATCTATAATAGTGGTTCAAATTCTACTGTTTGTTACTGCACCACATTTACTCTCCTTGTCTTAACACTGACTTTAGTACAGTATCTACAGAAATACTGTGAACGTACTCTGATTTTTCCACATTGACTTTTTCCCCCCATTAAAGTGGTGTCCCCTGGGGGCCCATGTGGGGACCAGTACAGTTTAATGCCTTCATCAGTGACAAAGACAGTAGGATCGAGTGCACCCTCAGCAAATTTGCAGACAACACCAAGCTGAGATGTGCCTGAGGGACAAATGCCATCCAAAAAGACCTGGACAAGCTTGAGAAATGGGCTCGTGAATGGGGTTAATGGTTTTAAACTAAAAGAGAGTTGATTTAGATTAGGTATAAGGAAGAAGTTTTTTGCAATGAGGGTGGTGAAACACTGGAACAGGTTTCCCAGAGAGGTGGTGGATGCCTCATCCTTGGAAACATTCAAGGTCACATTGGACGGGGATCTGAGCAACCTGATCTAGGTGAAGATGTCCCTGCTCACTGTATAGCATTGATCTAGATGACCTTTAAAGGTCCCTTCCAACAACAGCAATTCTGTGTTCCTAAGTCCCTGTGCTCTAAGTGGAGAAGAAAAATAAAGGAATAAAAATTACAAGTGTCAATCTCATCTGTTAATACTTTAGGGGAAAAAACAATAGCCATTTGCATTTTGAAAATTATTAACCTGAGATCTACTAATTTTGGAAAACATGACTCACAAGAAGAGCTAGTGATCATTCACACTCTGGTTAGCAATTTAACAAAACAAATCATCACTTCCTGGTCTATTTTTTTTCCCTAAACTTCTCTAAATTCACACACAAGCATGGATATAATATTTCTTATAACTAAAAAATTACTTTACCAGAAAAAAATCAGAAATTGCTCATTAATACTATAACCATTCTGAGGAATAGTAAGAAAATCTAGACAGACATTACTATTAACAAGGCTTAGGATAAATTACTAACATCCAAGTCTTTATGAAATCAAATACAAAATGAATTTCTCAGTTTTGAGCAATGAATAGAATTAGTTGCTAGGCAATGTTCTATTCTGTGGGTATCTTTCACAGAAAAGTCACAAAATCCTCATCAGACATTTCTTGACAATTAATATGCAGATTAGCTGAAAATTGTTACCACACAAGCCTGCAATAAATCTTTAGAGACTGCTTTCAGTCCAACAGAATTTACTTTAAAACAAATTTATTTTTTGCATTTAACCTTGTTCTTCAAGGTTAACCTAGTTCTTCAGCTGTAATTGAAGTATCTTGTAAAATTTTCTTTTCTACTTTCATAAGATGAAGAAGTTTCTGATGATTCAGTTCAACATAAATAAAATAGGTGTTAGTATTTTTAGTTTGTAGCTTGGTACTGTTAAAAGTAAACCAAATACATTAAAAAAATTTCAGAGTGCCTGAAGTCTTTCATCCTTGCTGGGTTTAAAGTTTTTTTAATACCTCACTTCAATGCTGTTTCATAGCTGCAGTAACACAACAGTTACAGAAATCATAGTAATTAAAAGAATAATGAAAGTAGACTCTCCAGAACACACTAACCATTCTACGTTTTCCTCCTACTTAAACCTATTAGGAAAAACTAAGAGAGTAGTTAAACCCTATAGGAAAAAAAATAAGGAAAAAGATGACTCAAATAACCCTAGAACTAAGATGGCAAAAATTACGTGTTCTCAGTCTTCATGGTGAAGTGGCATAGGTTTTCCACATGGTGAGGCTAAATAACAGGTGAAAATTAAAGTAGTAAACAAAAATTCTGATGGAAAGAAGGATTGTACCTTGTCACAGGCCCAAGGAAAAAGTTAAGAGAGACAACAGAAAGGGAGAGGGAAGAGAGTCTGCAGAGGAAAATCTAAAGAAAAAGACATTCTTGGGTAGCCTTTGTAGGAAAATAAAATTTAGGGTATGGATTAGGCTCTTTTACTGATACACACATTTATTTCTGAAACATTCATATACATAGCACACGGTGTTTTAAAGGAGGTTGTCCTGTAAACTTTTACTGCTCCCAGCAAAGGAAAAAATTTAAAGCATTTGATTGAATCAAATCAGTGGTTTAGGAAACCACTGTGAGTGCTGGGAGAACTGCAATCTGTCAGCATAGTTTACAAGTGAGAGAACAGTGTGACTATGCAGATGTTACCCTGAGGTCTGAGACCTGCAAGGGAGCAAATTAGGCAAAACCTAACAACTTGCTCAAGGGACAAATGCATCTAGGTATGGTAAAGAAAAAGCAACTTCTAGAGCTCATGAATAGGAAACGGTCTAGGAATTCAGGCCAAAGACTTGAAAAAACAGCCCCCAAAAGATGATATTTTTTCACAAATGAAAAAACTCTTTATTAAACTGCCAAAGCCTTTGAAGAGAGTCCAGTGACTTACTGAAAATCAGTAGCAGTCAGGACCTAACACCCATTACAGTCTGAAGTTTTAATGGAGTAACACCTTCTACAGGAAAAACCTGTATTTAATGTATCTGGGTGACTCTCAGTAAGAGAAAACATTAAAAAATCCCAAATAAATTGAACCTGAGGAAAAAAAGTACACAGTCTGATTTGCACTGCCATACAGAAGTTAGCATTTGAATGTTCCTTATTCAATTTTCTATTTCAAGTCACTGGTTCTTGTGCAAACAGACATTAGCACAGACATGAAAATGCTGTTCTCAGAAGACAATTCCCAACTAAGATATGATGTCATGATAAATGGCGTTTAACAGTTAATCACATCACCATTTTCTGTGAAATGCATTTCACCTTGGTGAACCTTTCAAATCACTTCGAAAATTACAGATTTGAAAGGCAATTAGATTTTATTTGAAAGGATGGACAGAATAATGTGAAAAGATTCAGACTTTTAAATAGGAGTAGTAAAGACATTGGCAGGAATGGCAGTTTAACATCTCATATCACAATCTATGCGAGTTCAAATAATTTTCTGCAAGAATCTGAGTTACAGCATCTTTTGAGTATTTTACTTTGGCTGTAATAAAACAATAAACAAATGCAAACTGAAATTTGAGTTACTTACAGTCCATAAGCAGAGTTTACAGCAAGACTGGTAATCTGTTGTGGAGGCTCACCATCCACCCACACCAACTGAATAACAAGATCTGCTTGGTATCCAGGAGGCATTCGCACAGGTCGAGTCTTAACACTAAGAAGAAGAGGTACAAAATAAGAACAAACAAACAAACAAACATGTACTGGGCCATGAATAACAACTGCTTCTCATCATCATGAATAATCAACCAGAATGGAAAACCTAAAATACTTCCCTCTGAAACTTTGAAAAAGGACATTTCTGTATTTTCGGAACTTTTTTGTTCTGAAGAAAAGCACAACAGAAAAATGTAAGGAGGTAAGAGAAGGGGAGAAGATATACCTTTCTGTAATGGTCCTCACCATAGCACATTCAAAACTTATGAGCTTGACAATTCTATTTGGCCATTTAGTGCAAACAAGTTCAGTTTTATTTTTAGAAGCATAATCACCTAATATGTGAACGAATGCTTCCTACATAAAAATCTGATCAAATTATTAACACCTGTTCCTACTGTGTTATGGCAAGTCCAGTGACTTGTAAAGCAGGTTGTGAAGGTGTACATATTAATGTATTAAGGGGAAGCATAAGAGCTGAACACCTCTGTATGACTGCTTTATGTGTGTTTTTGACTGGTAGAATTTAATGTGGTGATACACTGAAAGAAGATATTATGCAATAATAGCAATACTTTGAGGAATTCGAGTTAGTCATTAGTACATTCACACTGTATGTAGTAATTTATAAATAAAGCCCATTAGTCAGTGTATTTTTACTGTAGCTGTAAATGGTGAGATTGCTTATATTGCACCCCTTTTCACACAGCCATAATAGGGCAGTCTATCACATATAATCCTCTATCCCTGTGAAAAATAGTACTCCAAAGAAGACTAAGAAACAGGAGAGGAGGGAGAGTAGCTAATTAATATAGACTTGGACAACACATTCTGAAGAACTGCACTTTTTGGCACATAATATTTCTTTCTGCTTTAATTGCTTCTCTATCCTATGTACTGGATCTTGGAGGTCTTTGATGACACTGACAATGCAGACTACCTCCAGAATGATGTGACTCACCAAGCTTTCCAAGCAGCCCTGGCCCAAACACCTGAAAAGATGATGCATCAGATTGGAAATAAACCTAACTGATTTCTATTCGGAAGCAAATAATTAGGCACATCTTTCAAGAAAGGATATTCAAACTTCTCACTCTATAACCAGGGCTATCAGGTTCTTTGCAGCTACCCTTGTGGCATCTGTTGGGATGGAGACCTTAGTGGCAAATAGGGCTACTGGCAATCTTGGAAAATTGAAGATAGATGCAGAAAACCGAAGTAAAATGAAGTAAAGCATAACCACTGAATGACACCAGGGCAGAAGTTCTCAGCAAGGTAACTCCAGTAGCACAAAGGGCAATGTACAAACCAAACAGTGCTCTAATTCTGACAGAAGTTATGAAAAACAGGGAACAGTGCTCTACTCAGTTTCATGGTTTGATTAAGAGTATGGACATACTTTATGACACAGAGATAAAATCACCAGCGTAGTGCTAGTAGTAGGAGCACTTGCAGATACTTTTTGGAAAATTTCTTAAAGCATAAGGGCTATTTTCTTAATAAGGCCATCATATCTCTGTTGTGGGTTAACCTCATCTGACTGCCACACACCCACCCAGACACTCTCTCACTCCCCTTCCTCAACAGGACAGGGGAAGAAAATAAGATGAAAGAGCTCATGGGTTGATATAGGACAGGGAGACCACTCACCAGTTACCATCAGAGGCAATGCAGACTCAATCTGGGGAAAATTAATTTATTGCCAATTAAAAATCGAGTAGGAGTGTGAAAAATTCTTTGAAATGACAAAATTAAAATCATCCTGTTCCCTCCCTTTTCTTCAGGCTCAGTTTCACTCCTGACTCCTCTACCTCTTTCCCCACTGCAAACAGCACAGCAGGGGAGGGGAATGGTGTTTGTGGTCAGCTCATAACACTCCATATCTGCCATTTCTACCTCATGCTTTTCCCCTGTTCCAATGTGGGGTGCAGTCCTTCAAGAACAGACTGCTTCAGCATGGGCCCCTCAAGGGCCACACTTTGTGCCACAAAACTTGCTCCTGAGTGGGCTCCTCCATTGGTTGTGGCTCCTGCCAGGAGCCTTTTCCTGGGTGGGGTCTCCATGGGCTTCAGGGAAACAACCTGCACCACTATGGTGTCCTCTATGGAATACAGGGGAATCTCTGATGTCTAGAGCAACTCCTCCTGCTCCTCCTTCTCTCAGTTTGGTGTCAGCAGGATTGCTTCTCATGCTTTTTTCTTGTTCCTCTCTTGCACAAGTGCTGTCCATCATTTTTTGTCCTTTCTTAAATTTGTTTTTCCAAAGGATCCACTTTCTTGGCTGAGGGGCTCAGCTGTGCCCTGCAGTGGCTCTGTTGGAATTGATTGGAACTGGCTGTGACCAGCACAGGGCAGCCACAGCTGCTCCTCACAGAGGCCGCCCTGCAACCCTCTCAGCCAGCACCTGGGTACCTAAACATTCATACCCTCTTTCGAATTGTTTAACCATTTCAGTGATACAGTTTATGCTGTACTGTGAATATTTCTATTGTAGAGGATCCACAAACCTTTTCAAAACTTTCTCTTTTTTATTACTTAATGAGAAAGTCATTCCTCTTCTATCTTTCTAAATGCATTTCCTTAACAGTGGCTTGGCACACTATTCTATTTCTCTTGCCTGTTGTACTGTTCAGACCGTAGGTATCAATTTACCTGGAGCAGTGATCAGTCACTTGGCTTGGATCTTGTTGCAGGAAAGATGCAAAAGGACAGTTCAGCAAGTGCTCAACCCACTACAGTTGTCAATAGCTTTGTACTGTTGTTTTCTATTAACAGCAAACCTCTCCCCAAAGTTTTACACTTTCTTACCTGTTCTGCTGGCACTAAAGCTTTGCCCTTTTCTTTGTTCATACGATACATATCCATGAGCCTTTCTGAAGTGATGCTATCTGTAACCCTAATGAAACCCTGGATTAGCCAGGAGTAGTATTCCTGGTGAGAACAAAGGGATGAACATCTATGAACTCAAGCTGCCAAGGGAGAGGGATCTTTTGAGACCAGGAAAAACTGAAACTATAAGCAAGAGTTGTATACAATAAAGATGTACTATTTTCAAACAAACTTCACAGCAATCAGAAGCTGAATATTTTATACAAACAGTCCTTCAGAGTATCTTTGTGATGGAGCCCTTCAACTTCTAATGTCTGTGAAGAAGCCTTTAAGAGGCATACCAGTGGTGGTCTTTCCATCTTGCACCCCATTTTCAGTTTTCAGCTCCTGCCCTTAAAAATGTTACAAAAGTTATAAAACAGGTAAATGAGATCCAAGGACCAAGACTTAGCCTAATGCCCTTTCAGTTGAGTTTCATATTTTCTAATGGATAACTGAAGATGTTGGGGAACACGAGAGTCAAATGCTGCTATGGTGAGCTACAAGTATCTGTCAAAGAAATGCATTCATGCTTTCCTTCTAAAAAAATTACCATGAGACTCACAGTGGTTGCAGAATTGAATCTGATCTTCTAAAGCATGTTTTTAATGTGGTATTATTTTTCCAATGTGCTTTTAACAATAGGCTGAAAAAATTAGAGAACTTGAAGTACCTCCTAAGTTTTCTTTCAGATTATTGTTACCTGAGGAAAAAAGCAAACACCCTTCTCTCTATATTTTTCACTGCAAATTTGAGCATCTAATTTGGTAAGATGGATGTTATTTCACAGAGATTTTCTCTAAGCATAGAATAAGCTGTAGGTGGTGAAAGACCATAATTCTGGAGTAAAATAATTTCAAGTTTCATGGTTAAGTTTGTCATTCCCAAATTCCTGTGACACCTTCTTCTTTAAGGATCTTTGAGCTATTTCCCTAACCATCTTGCTTGAACAGTAATGCTGATATTTAGTTTTATTTCACCTTGATTTAGATTGCTTATTTTTGTATATACTATAAGCCTAAAAGTACTGCAGGAGTATGTGCAGAAGGAATATAGGTATTTCCTTGACATGTTCTTGTTATGCCACTCTGAATCTGATTGTTGCCAAGTTTTGGTTTTCAGTTTTCTTCACAAGATATTCCCATTTCCTTATGACTTTGGAGTTACTTGAAGCTACTATCAAACCCCTTGATTGACCTAATTTTGGGATGATCCTAGAAGTCTGGGAACAAAGACTGACATTCTGGATATAGCTTTTTGATAACTATTTATATCAAAAGTATTTATCTGCATAAACGCAAATCCACTGGTTTCTTAGGTTATTACAGCTGCATATTTCACCGTAAAATCTTCTGAAACAAACAAGAACAATATTTATTCCACACTGCTGCCTGCCTCCCTCAGTAACATTTACTTTTGATTTCAGAAAAGTGCCAATTTTTCATTACTTCAGTCCCTTCAATCGCTTTCTTCCTAGTATCTATTCACAGACACAAACACTTTCAGCCGTTCTGATTTCTGACTAGAAGTATGGAGTGTCATCCATTTGCTGTAACGAGATTGAGAAGCAGATATGAAAATAAACATAACGGAATCAAGATTAAAAGCTAGTCTGTATATAAAATTTTATGTGTATTATCAATACAGTTCAAGTTGTGCACTCACCCTCTGTGTCCAGGTGGCTGCAGGTTTATGTTATTACCACTTTATCTTAGATTTTCTACTGCTGCCTACCTGACTGACCTGCATATAAAGTCAACAACATCACCCAAGTCTTCACCAATTTTTCTGTTCCCAGCACTACTTTCATTTTATCATCATAATTCTGCTTAGATCGTTTCTTGACAGACAATGCCTGTGGACCTGGTTAGAGTTTGGGTGAAAAGTATGGGTATTTATATGCCTTTCCCTATTGAAAAATATAAGAGCATAGGTAAGTACACTTTTATCAAAATGTAGGAGGGAGTATACCAGCAGTTCTCATGGTATAATTACTTTGACTTCGAAAAATCGCTTCTCAGTCAAAATAAGTTTACATTTATTTCACATAAAATGAGACAAAAATCAGTTGGGCAGCTTAATATGAGATTATATGGAACTAAAATAAACTTCTAAAAACTAACAAGCAGAACCTTTATGGGCTCATTACAGCTTTTCTGCCTCCAAGATTAACAATTCCTCTCCTTCCCAGACAAAATCAAATAAGAATCTCTTAAGGAAAAATCTTAGCCAGTGAAACGATTGCATTCTTCCTTATTTCAAAGTCATAAATGGATTTCATATTTGGATTTTTAAAATAACATTTCTCTGCCTCGTCTATTGATTTTCATAGTGCAAATTAATGACTAAAGTGAGGTCTGAAGGTCAACTATCTGATTGAATGAGGTGGACAAATGAACAGGATGCCAAAAAATACTGTTAATTTTACAAGAAAAATATCACAATATTGCTTTTGAATGGTAACGATATTTTCAGAAGCCAAGCAGCCCAAAGTAACTGCAAAGTCAGGAAATGTTCTTTTGAAATAATTGAGGCATTTAAAATATTTAATAATAATTAGACCAAAACAATAATGAATTCACTCAAATGAGAGCAATTGTTATCAGTAATGCACTATAATTGTTGGAAAATTACAGTTTATGGAGTTTTGTACAGGATTCTTGTTTTAAACTATTCAAACCCATAATTTATCTGCCTTATTAATAAGAACATATTAATCTACACCAAACAGCAACAATAGGTACTCTAGCAGAAAATAATTTGCTTCTTTCTAAAGATTAAACAAATTTACACTTCCACACAGTGCAACTGTTTCATAATTGTATATTTTAAAGATTGTTTCATGAGTATGAACACAGTTTCCATGCATTACACACCATAAAATGCATATACTTTTTTCACAAAGAAGAAATTTAGTGTTATGCTAATTAATCAAGAAGGGAAAGATTTGCACATGTCTGTTTTACAGAAGTCTCTTTGTGAACTATAAAAAAAAGGTTTCTCAGAAATTTCTTGAAGATTTACTCCTAGATCAGACTCGAAAATTACAGTCAAACCTTTATGGTAACAGTTTATCTTCTCCATAATTACTTCTATTCTCTCCTTTTAAAATCCCTTGTTGATTATTTTGTTTGTTCTATATTCTGGTTTCTTCTCATTTTATGTCACATATATACAATTAACCTCTTTTTCTTGATAGTTGGTGGATTGATTAACAGGTAGGAATGCTTTTTAGAGAGATAAACCTTTGAGCAATGGCATAGACTTACCTAAGACATGGGATACTATCCTTCATTGTTCCTTCACATCCTACAGTGTTGGTACTGCCCGAAAGGCTCTTTAAAGAAGAAAGCTGGGAGGAGGCATCTGGAAATGGAGGATTTATTTCTGGTTCAGGAGTAATGATATCTTCTACTTCGTACTGAAGTCGTACCTCTAATGACTTAAATAAATAAAAAGCTAAGTTATAATTTGATAAAGAAAGCTGATGAAAGTTCTGGTACTTTCAAATAAATATCAGTAAGCCTTTTTTAAAATACCCCACCACATTTATTATCATTTACAGGCAAAGAATACTGTCATTTGTTATTTACACAGCCTAGCAGCAACATCAGATAGGAGCTATTCATCTACCCTAGGCCGATGGAGAAAAACATAGGTATTTTCTTCCATAGGTATATTCTGATGACTTTGATTCCAGCCTTTTACAGCAAGTGAAAGGCAAGAATATCAGTGTCCAGAAGTTATTATGAAAAGAGAAGTTCATCCCTCACCCCCAAATAAATAATATTTCAGTATAAGAAGATATCATTGAGAATAAGTGTCATGAAAATTTTCTGCCTATTGTTTTTTTATGTTTTTCTTAAGTAAATTCATTAAAAGAATGATCGTCAACTCTGCCTCCTCATGACCAGTACAACAGAGTCTCTACCAGACAGGTTTTAGCCAGGATGGAGAAGCCTGACTGTGTGAATAGAACTGATAAATGAACTTTGTTTGTCCATAGGTGGGGGTCAGGAAATCAGGGATAACAGCACAGAGAGTTCCGTGTTCCTTAGAATGGACAGGAGTTTGGTGGATTCTAGAAAGCAAAGTTCAAACCAGTTACCTTTTGCTTTCTTTCTGGCCTCCCTAGAAAGGGAAAACAGACTAACCAGGCCAAACCACTCTGCAATTCTTTCCACTAATTCAGGAAACTTTAACTGAAGGGTTACTGCAAATCACAGGGAAAACTGGACAGGGAGTTAAAAATCTATGTAAGTAATAATCTCAAGGAATCACAGTAAATATTGAGTAATTCTTTCTACTTCATCAATTCTCTAAGAGGATCCCCATTTTGAAAAGAATAAAAAACAAAGTACAGCCCTCAAGGAGACAACATCTTGGGATTACTAGCTGAACAGTAATTTCCGTGCTGGTACCTTGAAATGTACAGAAACAATTGCAGATGTAGACACTGCAAACTCTAATTTAATGATGTTTCACTGAGACATCATCTGTACCAGAATGAAGATAAACAAAATATCTAAGTTTTATGAGAATCAGGAGATAAAGGTCAGTACTGAAGGCTCATCTGTTTCTCAACCACTGTATTAAAACATACAAGATTTCAGAAAGAAGTTATTCTGCTCAAACAGAAGAGAAAGAGTCCTTTCTCAAAATTTCACTTTTGTTTTCTCCTTGCAATATCCATGGATGTTTTTTGCCTGAATCAGCTAAAGAAACCTATAGACAACATTTGCCTTCAAAGACTAATGAGTGAAATATTGAGTTCAGGAAAATCTAATCTGGAAGTAATTGCTGCTGACTGAAACAATTTATAATGCTGTTTAATCTTTATGCAAGACTGGGGGAACTGTTGAAGAGTATGTTCTTCTGCCTGCCAAGTTAGAATTGCATCATTCTTCTTTGGATTTTTTTTTTTGTGTATTCCTCTTTCTACTAAAATTAATTTTTTTTCAAGTTCCAGCTATCCTGCATTTGCAGAGAGAAGGAAAAAATTTAGGCTACTAACAAGATTGTGAATTTTTCTTACATTTTTGTCTTGCTTTGACCAGTCTTAGAGGGTTTACAGAAGTGTCGTACCAACTTATTTTGACACACAGTAAAGATATTTTTGGGGGATTCCATCACTAGATTAATTGATTCTCCTTTCCACATTCAAATGAATGTAAACTTTTTTCCATGGTTCTTCTCAAGAGCTTTGAAGAGGAGCTTCAATGAGGAAAGACTGATCACTGAGAAAGTGATCATTTTAATTAATAGATGCTTTTGAGACAGGATGGAGTAGATTCAGATGAGAAAACAAACACAACAGCAGCAAATATTTTTTATACAACTGCATGACAATGACTCCGAGGTTGCATATGAAGCAGAATTTATCTCATGGGTAATACTTGCCTTCAGAATCTGATAGAATCTGATTCAAAATGATGCAAATAATTCTTCTACTGAGGAAATCCCAGGCACAGCCTATGACCCTAATGCACATTCAGCAGCAGACCTCCCTGCTACATGAAGAAACCTTTGAGTAGCCTCCACACTTTCCATTTACCACAGCACTAACATTACAACACTGACATCAGCCAGTTAAACTAATGTGGGGGCCTTAAAATGCTTGGATTTGAAATTGAACTCAAGGTAAGTTCAGGCTGGCTGATAAAGAAAGGAGGATACTAAATGTTTTGTATCTCAGGGAGCAAAGAAATCCTGAGGCTGACCAGCTCAGTCTCAATATAGACAAAGCCAGACAGCCTACAATCAGGTACACATTCCAACAAAGAATTCCATACTTCTGATTAAAAAAGTGATGATTTGAATGCATGCAGCAAAAATGCAGAAACCAACAGAGAAGGGCCATTCAAGGATGCACAAAACTGAGGGGAACTCAGTGACTATATCACCAAGATGGTATAATTTAATGTTCAGAGAACAATTCTTTATATAAATGCTTATTAATTACAGATGAAATGTGAGAAACTGTTAAATTGAAGATATTATAGCACTTTAGAAAATACTAGTAATGATGCAATTCGGCCAGAAAAGCAAAGGACAGGAAAACAAAGAAACTAAATTACAGATAATGAAAGATAAGGTGCACTTACTATGGAACAATGTAAGAATACTAAAATGTAGTAATTTTAGCAGCATTATACCTGGGCTGGTCAGTAACACGAAATTACTGTTCATCAGTTTTAAAACTTTCCCAAAATGATACATTCAGCTAGCTTAACAATTGACTCTGGGGAAAAAAAAATAGTGGAAAACAGCAGAACAGCCATAGGTAATGAATTTCCTTACCAGATGGCACATGGCTTCAGGCCAAAAATGACACAGTTTTTTGCCACACTAGAACTTTCTAAAGTACATTAAAATAGTGTGAAAAGGAAAAGAAGCAGGGAACGTGGAAAATATAAGGGAAAATATGGTTTTGTTGAGAGCTGGCAGACGCAAAGAAATACTTTCTCTCAAGAGAGTGTCTGGAGTTGCAAACTGTTCAGCACCAGAGAACAGCAAGCCTGAAGGAGAAGGCAGTCATGTTTAGCTTGGCTCTGCCTTAAGATCTGTCTGCTGTTAAACTTCTTACACTTAAGAAAGAATGTTTTACACTATAAATGCTGCTCAATCACATTGTTAGAAATGGTTGTGGCTCCTGTGCAAAAATGCAAGATTTAAACTAAAGCCAGAATCACTGTTCAACAATGATGAAGTATAATTTGACTGCAGTGTAGTTAAAGGAACATAGTCTGTATGATTCTACTTGAAAAAAGGTGACCGCTTAAATACGAAGACAGAAAGTGGATGATTTTAATTGGACAAAGTAACACAATGCTTATGAAAATATCAAGTGCTTAGCCATAAATCTGGTGTTTGATATGGTTTCCATTTTTAGGGAAACAAAGTCAGCATAAGCCAGAAAAAAATCAATTCTTCTATTTTGTTAAACCCATTGATAATTTTCAGTCTCCTTATAGTACAAAGACTATGAACATAAATTAAGAAGATGAAATATTTGAGTTAAAAAGAGCATTAGGCATGTACACAATGAACATTATCTGATGAAAACATACAGCAGCCAGTAATTTTAGAGCAGGTAAACAAAACAGAGTCTTAAAAGCAAAGTATGTCTGAAATCTGTACTGTATGTTACTATTAAAGAAAAAAAAAAAGATGGAGAGTTGGCTTCCAAAACCTCAGATTTTTTTTTCAGTGACTTCAGTAGGATCAAGATTTCACTGAAAAGGTTTAAAATTAATATCTCTAAGCCTATATTTATACAGATTGATATTTTTATTCAAGTACCTGAGCACAGATAAAGCAAGGCAATTTGATTTAGGAATTATGTTCTCTTAGAGTGAAATTCTGAAGTACTTACTGCAATTTCAGTATTTACTTCATGTTTGCTGAACCTGTAAACAATCACATATGCAGAAACTCCTGCCACACAGAAAATTCGGCTTTCAGGACACCAGTACATCATCTGAACAGCAAAAGGATCTTCTTCCACAATCTCAGCTGTTGCTTTTCCTTCTCCCACTTTCTGTTTTTCAAAGACCTTTGATGTTTTTAATTTGTATAACATCTGTAGAGTAACTGTAATATATTAAAACATATAAAAATACTAACATGAAGCACATCAGTTATAAAATTCCTCAATTCTCACTTTCTTAGTTGTGGAATAACAAGGAATCTTAGGAAAGCCTAACAGGAGAAGATGCATATTATACACTACTGATATTATTCTGGCACACAGTACTGGTAGGACATGAATTTAATACTTCACTAAAGGATATTTGTCTGTGAAATACTTCTTAGTACTTTCTGGGACAAGATTTCAAAGGTATATTTTAACAATGGTGTCCATAATTAGGCTTATATTGAGTGTTATAGAGAGGCTCTGATAATGTTGGTATTTTCCTAATGAGATGTGAAACTAAGATTCCATTTGTCTGATGTTATTATCTAGCTAGAATGTATGGAAACTCGAGAGAAAATATCAGGAAATCATTTCAGTGGCCTGGTCAACACGAAGCCTTTCTGAACTAACAGGAGTTCAAAAATGTTTTGAATTTCGTGACTAATAAGTATATCTGTATTTATACCTGTATAAAAAATCCTGATATATACAGAAGCCTTTGTCAAGATTAGAAGCTCACTGCCGTGAATTCTGGAGGTACTATAATCAACCCCATTATGTTTTATTGACATTCCTCCCTGTTTTTATTAATTTTACATTAATTTATCAGTGGCATTAATTAATAACTGTGTAAGGTCAGAAAAAGTCAGTCAGGCCCAGCACCTACAAAGGCATATAAATCCATAAGGGCAAAGCTGTTACATGCATCAGTATAACTGTGGTAGCTCAGCCTAGCTAGCCTGTGTAACAAGAGCAACAGGAAGATGAAAGAACAGGGTTTTAGTTATGTAACTGGATGCTGAACACAGCAAAAATACATTTTCATTTGGCAGTGCAGATATATTCCAGGAGGTCCGGCATATAAAATTTTTAATATTTTAAAAAGTTTTAGCACATAAAGCACTACCAAATTTTCACAAATTACAGCAAGTGCTTCTATAATAAATACAAAATTCTTCCTGCCCTAAGTGGCAGAGAAAGAGGATTCAGGATGCCCTTAGTCCCAGTGGCAAATCTAGAGTGGCACTTCAAATCAGGCATCATGGGTTCAAGCATAGTAGGACTGGAAGAGTTACAGAATCATATGGCACGAAGTCTATGCTTCTCTGAATTACTAAGTACCATCTGCAAAAGGACAAATAAGAAACAGCAATGGCTTTTGAGCAAAGTTACATTTGGATAACTACTTCAGCGGCTTAGAAATTCCCAGTCTCTCACAAATCTGTGCTTTCAGATACAAAATTACACAATTAAAATACATCTAAAAGCAAAGTATTTTGTGCCTTCTAATACCAGTAGGATATTTTGTTTACTAGAAAATCTCAAATTATATTGAACTCCACTAAAAAAGTTAAGACCTTGTAAATAATAAAACTTCTTAATAATTAATACCTTGTAAATAAAAAGTATCAAGTATGCTACGAGTAACACAGTACATGCCCTGAAAAGCAGGACTAAGACCAGGACATCAGAGATGCACTGAAAATACCAATGCTGTTGAAGAGATTATGAATATTCATGATCATCTAAGCTTTTAGCATTTAGAAAAATTCCTATTGCAGTGTGTATATATTGATTAGGGGGTTATGTTTATATTCCCTGTGAGAAGCTTTTTCTTTCTCCATTTCTGCCAGAACTATAGAAGAGGTAACTAGCACATTGGTTTCTGTGCAGTATATATGCTATGTGGTCTTACAGCAATCTGTATTGTTTCACTCTAACTTCAGTGCCTGTATTTTCACATTCTTGTTAAAAATGTAAGTATGTAATGAAATATTCACAAGACAAGGTCTAATATCTCACTCTACTTCTCTAAATGAAAGTAATTATCCTACTTTGGTTTGTATTAAAGCTCTCTCAAACTTCCGTTTTTGCTGATAAACTATTGACCTTGTTTGATTGTGGGGGTTTTTTGGTGTTCACCATGGTTTGAAAAAGGGGATTACCTGACAAAGTCATCAGCTTTAGCTGACATTAAAATCTTGTAAACGTTTCCCATATTTGCAGTAATAATCATTACAATTTTGTGGCACAGTGTGGAGCAAGCAAGTAGTTTGAGTATCTCATACTTCACAATATTGTCACCCATTACAGACTGATTATTAGGGTCATGTTAAATCTCTCTATGCCCAACATTTCGTACAGGATTTTCTTTCACACTCTCTTTTCCTTAAGAAACTGATACCTCATAAGGAGATATTCTACCCAGACATTCCTGCACGTCTGAAGAGACAGAAGACAAGGCAATTCTAAAGGATCTTTGGTAAACCACAGTCATATTATTTGAAGAAGAATATTTTAACCTTCAGCTAAAATGAATGTGTATTTTTAATAAATACATTTTACTAATAAGTACCGTACGTGTTTTCTGTAGGGGAAAACGCTGGTTTCTGATATGTGTAGTTATAGCCAGATAGCATGGAACAAGCATTTTCTGAAGCTTTTTCCTGCTATGATGAATGGAAATGCTTCCCAATTATTTACTGGGACTTGAGATTGGGCAAGAAAAGATTTAGGTCTTTTCCATCCTCAACAGATTAAGCATGTATTGACATGCACTATTGTATTTTAATTTTACTTAGTTGTAAAAAAGTCTTTGTTATACTCAGAATAGAAGAGACATGACAACTGGAACTGAATGTTACATCTAATTGAGCCCACTATTTTATAAACACAAGATGAATGTGCCCTAAGGATTTTTACTAGTGCTTCATTGTTCATAGGTTTTGGTATGTTGGATCTTGAGTTATTATGCCTCTTAAAGACTTTCACTCTTTTCTGCCTAATTTATCTCATTAGCAGCATTTTTTTGCCTTAATTTGATAAAAATTTTCTTCATTTCAACTAATTTTTCCTAAGTATATCAGCCCACGTATTACTACTCATACTGTTCAATATCATGTTTTATATATGTGTGTGTTTGTGTGATTTGTCAGCATTATATAAAAGTGAGCTTTAGGAACTTACTGGCAGAAGCATCCCAAAATTTTACTGATCCATCTGCATGGCTTAAAAAAAATATAAAAATTAAATGTGTTAAAACAATATTCAACTATAAAACATCATCTACTTTCAGTGACTGATAAATATAAGCAGAAAAACTGTATTTTGCTCACGCGGTAACTCTCTATACCTTACTGACAATATATTAATAATATACATACTAACTATAAGTAAATGGTTTGTTATTAGTTTGATTTGGTTAATGAAATATTTTTCACGCATTTCCTATAAAGAACTAAGCCCCCAATGAATTTTAAGATCTCAACAAGAAGAAATTATTTCCCATACTAATGACAAGTTTAAGTTACAGCACTTTTGGCTTTGCACTGGGCCAGCATCAAGCTTATGCACCCTAAAAATGCCATGTATAATGAGCTTTGAAAGGATAGAGGGTAACTTTATTTTGCTTAATACCTTACAGCTGTGATCTTTTTAGTCATTTCTGATAAAATGAGAATGATCCCTTCGTCAGCTTATTGGTACTATTGTAATCTTACTTTTAAAAAGTATCATTGATAATAACAATTTATCACATATATTGGTATCTTCAGCCTGACTGAGACCAGAGGGTAACACAGTGTGCATCTTAGATGAGTAGCTTCTGTTTTACAGTATGGTGCCTTGAAAATCCATCAGGCATTTCTCATGGGGCTCCTACTTCAATCTGAGCCTTTCTATGCCTTTTTGCTATGGGTCTCCACTTACAGAGTGAAATTCATCCTAAAGCACTACACCCTCAGTAATTTTGGGTATTAAAATGAAGTCTTAAACTGTCCCCAGATACAAATTTCCCAGAAGGCTAAAGGACAACAGTCATAGAAAAACAGCTGCTCTCCTTTTAAAAGCTATTCTCTATGACCTTGAAGGCCAAAATATTGTCTTTCAATTGATTTTCCTTTCCAAAGACCCCAGCTTCATAAGTACACAGACTTGCTGTCTGACACTGGGGTCACAAGTGGTATTTCTTAATAGTAACTCGTCCCTGAGTACTAAGTTCTCTTTTTTACAGCAAAAGAGAATTTCTGCAGTGACACTGTTCACATGAAGAGCCAGGATAAATGAATGCTGTCAAGGCTCAACTCTTATCTATAGGTAACCCTCAAAAAAAAAGGAATAGACACCAATATTTTAGAGGTACCAATCCCCAGTTTCATTCTCACCCTGTAATAATGATTTCGGGATATGTTTGAGCTCCAAGATTCCATGCTCCACCACTGATAGGCCATTCCTAAACAAACAAAAAGAGTACAGAGATCACAGCTAATTCTGATGAACCTTGCTTGGTTAATTCTTAAACTCAGGAGTAGAAAACATCTTCCCCCAAAAAGCAATACAACTAGTAAAAATAACAAAAGTATATACCATTTAAGGCTTTTACAGTTTATTTACATTTTTGTATTATCAATTCAGGCTTTGGAAACTTAATAACATTTTTATATTACTAACTAAAGTTCTATGTTTTTAAAATATTTCTGCACATCTAACATTCAACAATCTAAATTAGGAATGAGAGGAAGGAGTAACAAACAGTTCTGCTAGTCTTTCGAGGTGTATTGTCTCTGGAAGTTTCTATAGAAGACTGAATAGACCAAGAATCTATTTTGAATACAAAGACCACTGAAGAAGCTGACCCAGAAACAAACATCTGAGCACGAAGCGATGAGATCACAAAACGCAACTTTTATATAACATATGAAATCATCATCTCTTCTCTGCCTTTTGTTTACTAGTAGCAAGACTCCCATTTTCTTCTTGGTCTAGACTGGTTGAGCAAAATGCTGGTTTGTGCCTGAAGTATGACATGTATGGATACAGGATAAAGGATGTGGAGGATGACGCATGTGCAGAGTGGGTGGGGACGTGTGCAGAGTCTGAGTGGGTAGAGAAAAACTGAAAGCACAAACTGTTTATTTGGATACATGGAGTGGATGCTTGTGGGTACAGAAATGGGTGGCTGGCGTATGAGTGACTACCTACCTTCAGGGTGTATATTTGTACGTGCACAAATAAAGCAAGGGGTCAAGAGAGTATGCAATGAATACAGGTAGGTGGTAAAAAGTACATGAGGTAAGAATATGAGGTACGGATAGACTCAAATAAGAGAAATAAAGTATTTTCTGAAGTACTTCGCTGAGTAAAGATACAAAAGAAGTAGAGAGGGCTCAGTTTCTGAGTTCATGGAAAATAAGGCAGCTCCAAGGAGAATACTTTTGTTGATTTGAATAGAAAATTGATGATGTCTGAGTTGCTTACCTCACTTTTTTTCTAATTTATTTATTATGATGGATTAGTTCTAGTCAAAACACAAACCAGATTAAAACTTGAAATTTATAAATTAATTGCATTTCCTCTTCTTCTTTCTGCAGCTTGTCCTATTTCTAAAGGCATTAAAATAAGACTTTGGTAGCTCAGTAAAATAATATCCCTATTTAATAACAAATCTCACAGACATGCTGTCAACCCTCACTGAACCTCTTCTGCTTAAGTCTTTCAGCTATAATGTTTTCACTTTTTTCTTTGATAGAGATAACCCACCCATACAAATTTGAATTGTACATGATGGTTTTCCCTGAACCCAATCTGATCTGGAATAATATCAGCAGCCTAAAGTCCTGTATAAAGGTAATTAACAGTTGTGCTTAAGTGGTGGTGTTTCTGGGGGACAAATACCAGCCTGTAAACATGCTGCTAAGCTGATGGTTGGACTAAGTTGAAAATTATTATTAAAGAAGTAAAATGGAAATAATTCAGTAACATGTTACAAAAACCTAGGTTATACGTCTACTTTCTTTGCTTAAGAAAATATTGGTTTTGTTTACCTTATTGCTGTATCCTTGCTTTTTATGTTTTGCTCCTACAGAATAGAGTACAGGAATCAAATCTGGAGGGCAGTCCGCAAAATATTCAGTGCAGGTAACAGGTGACTCATGAATGTCAATAGGATATGGATTTTCAAAGATTGGAAAACTAGTTAAGGAAGACAATTTATTAGAAGCACTGTCACACTGAGTCATAGAATAAAACATATTCTTATATTAAAGAGTATAACAGAATCCAAGTAAAATTATTACTAATGAAATACATTTTCCCTTATTTATTCAAACTTATATATTGCTTTTCATGTCAATAATAATGTATAGTTATGCAAATAAAGATATTAAAATTCCACTGCCATGACAAGAAACCTCTTGTTACATAAATACCCAGTTATATGAATAGTGCCTAAGGCTAATAGGGCTACTTGTGTCAATGATGATTAAGAACTAATTTTTTCCAACATCTCAAAATCTTATTTATACAGAAGTGACACATTTTCTAGAAGTTTCAGGTTCATGGATATGATATATACTATGATGTAAGAACTACTTATACAACTTTGGATTTTATATTGAGCATCTTAGCCTATTGGGTTGGTAGACTGTTAATTCTACAATGAAAAACTGCAATAACAGATGAGTAGACCTCAGTTTACTATACAGTTCCTCTTTGATAAGAACATTGATTCTGATATGAAAGAACTACTTGTCATTTAAACCAGCAACTGGATCATGAAATAATTCTGTAGATCCATATAAATCAATGCCATTATGTATTAAGATACTTAAGCGGTAGATCCTGTGGAGTCTAGTTATGCATATAAGTAGAAGCTGAATCTGATTTCCAAAACATATGTTCAGGTCATATTTCAGCATGTGACCAAGTATTACTTAACTTTGGTGTTGAATGAATGTTTGAGTACTATGCTGAAGGGACCGCAGACTGAGATTTATTCTAAAGTTCAAGAACAAATATTATCTTAAGTTCCGGCTGATTAGACGATCTTAGCTCTTACGGTGGAAGTAAATATTTAGAATGAATCATTTCCAAGAGTGAATGATTTCGGATAGCAAAATGACATCACGTGATAACATTTGGAATTTTATGATAATTTGCTGGACAGTTAAATACACAAATAGATTCATATAAAACTTCATACTTACTTGCTTTGTGTCAGGTCAACAACAATGAGATCTTTTTCCAAAAGCACAACTACAGCATAGGGTTCTTGAAATTCTGTAAGCAAGGAATCAAGTACAAAAGACATGGAGTTCTTCCATCACACATTTTAAACTAGCAAGTAAAATTTATGTTCTCCAGACTTTCACAGTACAAACTAGACAAATCTGGAAAGCAGGGCCAGACAGGAAGTAAAAAATGACTTTTGGGTAGTATTGTTGACAAACATACAAAGCAGAAATAGAATTGGAATATTACAGCCTGCCAGCATGATTCTATATTGAAAGTAAAGAAAAAAAATATTAATAAATTGTATGTATCATTGCACTGATGAAGCCAATTATTATACAGAAAAAGTATTTTTGCTGTCCAGAAATAATATTTCTACTGTGTACAACTACTCTTCAAAACCAGATTGTGCAGTTCACTTTATGATACACAATGCCCCCGTTTCCAAGGTGATTCCAAGGGAATATTCCAAATGAATATTCAAAATGAATCCTGTAAGTCTGTGGTGTTCAATTCAAGTACTGACATACCCCTTCCTCCCGCACACTCTTCTGGAGATTATACAGTTTGGTTTTTTATTTAATTATCTTTCCATTTATCAAAATTAAACAATTAAAATGACAAATAAATGCTTCCCTTGATGCATAGGGTGTATTAATTTACATAGGATAAAAGTTATTTAAAAATTATAAATGTGAAATTATGACTCTCTTTTCAACAGCAACAAATCATTCCAGCATGTGCAAGCTCAGAATACACTCTTCAGATGGGTCATGCCAAAATGATGAGTAAATGACAGCAGCTGATTCAGCTTCCTTTCAGTCTTGCTAAAAATGCACATTATTTTTTGCCTGTTTTTATACAAGGCTATGAATAACACAGGCTAAACCAAAATGCTTAAATATTAGTGTGTAAGCAGGGGAAGATGGTACAAAATTGTAGCACTGGGAAGTATTTGACACAGTTAAATGAAAGCTCAAACTAACTTTGACTCCCAAAAATTAAATTTTTGTATACCATTGAAACAAATACATACTTTACTAAGTGTATTTAATATGTATTTGATTTAGCTATGTATATAAGATTTATTTTACTTTTTGCTTGAGGGTTTAAAATGCTAAACTTTGTTTGTTTTTGACTTACAGCTTCTCTTAATTTAATTCCTGGAATTTTCTGGGAGTATACTTCAGAATGTGGGTAGCCCCACAATATGCAGCAAGCATTTTTAGCAGTTCATTTCACACTGAAGTGTAAGAACTTTTTTGCAGATAAGTGATAGTTTAATCTTCAATAATTTAGTAATCTGTAGATTTTCAGCATCATGAAAAATGTCAGAAATATAAGCACATATGTTTGATTCATAGCTGTATTTCCCCACACTAGCCCATGTGTTTCAATCTTATATGTGAAGATTTATACATGCTTTATTGTCCACTCATCACTTGCTTCCTCTATTGAGAATGCAAACAATTTCCAGGTACTTTCAGTTATGTAGTTTTCTTGAGATGAAGACAAATGTGAGAATGGAAGTCCCTGGAATGGAATTAATGTATGAGAAGAGATCACTTCATTTATTTTTTCCATAATTGTATTTTGCTTAATAAACTCACCATTTGGATATGGGGTTTCACAAAGAGTTAAAAAATCAACTATAGGGTGATCCATTTCAAGAACTGTAATTGCTTTCCCATGCATGATTGTTAAACTGGGTCTTCGACAAGGCTTATCATATGACAGTCCACCAGAAAATATCACAAATGGTTCACTGTATTAAAAACAACAACATAATAGTTGTAAGTCTACATAGTACACACAGGTTTACATTATAGGTTTAGTTTTCAAATAGTAATAAATAGCTTGCAAAAAGAAAGCAGGAAAGATTCTAAAAGGACTTTAAGTCGGGAATGTAATATTGATTTAATTGCAGAATTAAAAACAAACCTGTTTTTACAGGTCTTGTACTCTACTTTTAGAATTGGTTTACAAGATTCAGGTTTTTTCCCATCTCTTTGAACTTTTCCTAAAGAAAGAAAGAAGATGAAAACTCTATTAAAACATCATGATAATAGAACTATCAAACTAAAACATACACGTTGAAGCAACTGTATAAGCCGTAAGAGAATGGAACTTTAAAGCTACCGATGCTGAGTATTAACTCCTATTTCTGTAAAATATTATTTGTCTAAATTAATAACATTTATTATATCTTTGTGTTTTACTATCACATACATCTAAAGGACCATAAGGTACACTTCAAAAATGTCTAAATCCCATGCAGATTACTGAGCATGGCACTTAAAATTAATGGATTAGACTAATTGTACACCTTCTTTTCTTAACACATTATGATCATAAACAGTTTAATTTTTTCCTAAGCCTTTTTAGATTAATTCAATTCCTTTTGTTGACAAACTGCTACATGCTTTGGAGTATAACTAGTTGAGTGGTAAAATTAAACGAAGCATATAATTGAAATTCATTGGTTCAGGCCTGTTTTGATCTGATGGTTAGACTAGACCTCTGAGAGGTCCCCTCTGACATAAAGTACAATTCTATGAATAAAAATTATAAAATAGAAGGAAATTTAAGAAAATGCTAATTCTTTTTTGGGCTACATAGATCTTGCCTTGTCCTTCTTCCTCCCTTTGCACACAGTCAGGTCTCTTGGCTATGTATTGATTTGCAATGAAGTCAATATTTTTTACCTTGTTCATAGGAAACAATAGCATATTAAGTCCCAGGCATAAAACATACAGCCCATTTCTTAATATGGCTCCTTTATATTCTTCATTGCAGTTATTTGGGAAACCTTGTACCATCACCATGAGAAACAACACAGTGTCTTGCACAAAATGTATTAGCTTGTAAAAATTGCATGTGAGCACATAATTACAAAATATAAAGAAAGAAATGTGAAAATCACATAGCCTGAGGGTCTCACAGACAAGCAGTAGACTCTTAAAATGAGTGGATAAAAGAGGTATTTATGACACCAATTAAAAAAAAGTTTTATCTAAATTGCTGATTTATATAATAATTTGCAGCTACTATGCAAGAAGCAACTCTGGATCTGGGCTACGGTGAAAAATTAAATAAACAGAGATATTATCAAACAGCATTGAGAACACTGTATTGCTTCTTAGTTATACATTTTCATTATCAAAATTACCATGTGGAATTGTGGTCTGGAATGGTCTGTTAGGACTTTTCAGATTCCATAGGGTCAAGCTGCCATCAGAGTGACTGCACATGAACTGTTTCCCTTCATGATGCCAAGCAACAGAATGAATAGCCTACAGAAATTAAAGAAGAAATACAATGTTTACAGCAATGATATTTTAATGTAAGACTTTGGATTATATTAATCTAATGGTACATCAATAGTTGCGAGGTTCTTGTTTGTCCATTACCACCACTTTTTAGCAACCAATGTCTGTAATCCACAATTCACCATAAAGGCTAACACAACACAATTATGTAAGGAAGCCTTTAAATCAGACCAAAATTGAAGGAATAGGGTATTAAGGTAAAAGTATAAGAACAAGGGACATACAATGCAATTGTAATATGTGTGATAGCTCCCCTCAGAAATATTTAATCTGGTAAATTTACAGGGAATTCAGTGTAACAAGTTTTACAGGTAACATACAACACACAGTCTTCCCCAGAGGATGTAATACACTGTTCTTGAACAATTTCCACTCACATACTCAAGCTGCAGAGCAAGTAAAAATCAAAACACTATATAGACCGGGATTGTTTAATTGATCTAGGAAATTCCCAAAACAATGTAAGATACATTGGAACAGATAGATATGTTCCTCAGAGAAGAGGAATATTGCACTCCTATGTGCACACTACAAGTACCACATGATGAATATTACGTATGCCAAAAAGCAACACTTGAAAAATTAATAGACCATTCTTAATATTTTGTGCATAATTAGTGGAACTGACTGAAAATATCTATTTACACCAAACTAGCTGAAAGAATAGTGGTGTAAGTCCTTCACTTTCATTGATATGTGCTGGAAATAAACAAAAGACATCTTCTGACAAAACATTCATTGTATAACACAGTTTCTCACACACTCCTTTCAGAAGCACAAATTCACATAATTCTCCCTTGAATCCATATCCCTTCCAGAAATGTTCGCTGCCAAATAGCAAAAAACACAATATGTTTTTCTGTAAATGTAAATAAAAGAGACCTATTTTTGAATACAGTTTGAGAAATTTCCTTTTTTTTTTTTTTTTTTTAAGCGTGGGAAATACTAAGGCCTTGCATGCACTTAGAATTGCATATAGCCATATTCAATATATAAGTGACTTATTCAAATCACTTTAAAATCATTCCTGGGTGTTCATAAGTCAGTACTGCAGTTATTCACATCAGTTTTGCTCAAGCTGACAAGAAATACAGCTAAGTCTACTGGTCGCTATTCAGAAGTTCCTGTTGGTCTTCCTCTTTTAGCAATTATATTGATTGTTATGGTCAGTTATGGCTCATGGTCTGGAGGGAGTATCAGCAGAAACAAACAAAAGGGCTGTGACCTCTTACCAAATCTTTAATCAGCTCCTGAGGCTGGACAGCATGGCCATAAATGCATTAAGACGACCCAAATATTTTAATAGTAATCTGACATGCTTTGTGTATGAATGCTTGACTGACATACTAGGTAAGATAGTCATGACAAAAAAAGACTCAAAACCCAGAGCTGAACAAACTCCAGATATTTATCTTTTGAGTGACATAATGAGTATCACTCAAACTTCTACCTGCCAGAGGGGGGTTGGCACACAGTTCCTCTTAAAGACCCAGAAGACACCAAACTATAAAGGAAGCAACAAAAGACAACACAGAAAGACAGTTCATACAGAGTCCAATATTGTTGCTCTCAGGTAGGGACAACCTTTGATCTGTGGGGAGCACTGCTTCACTTACACTGAAGGCATGTCTATCCTCATGCAAATTAATTCTGACATGAGCTCATTCATGCTTGCTATTGTGCCAAATCTGGATCTGGTTTTGATATGCTATCACATTTAAAAACATTTCACATGGCTACAATCACTAACTGTCTGAGCAGGAGCTACTAACTAGCAGCTGAAAACTGTAACAAGCTGCTTGTTAAACTGCCTCTCAGCTGCTGGGTGTCCCCTGCCAGCATAAACCTGTGGAGTAGAGCTGAGGTGGAATGCTTGTGTCACAGACAGTTGGCAGAGCAGCAACTCAAACTGACCTGTTAGACTTTGCCTTGAAATGGGCAAAAACCCCATATAATCACTTCTGGAGGTCTCATCTGGGAGTCACGACTAATACAGAAAGATGGCACTGAACAAGTTCCAAATTTTCTCTCTGCTAGAATATGTCTAGATTCTAATCCACTTAGTTAGCATCCACACATAAAAGGAGCAGTTATTTGCTTAGAAGAGAAGTTCATCATGGTGGGTGACTCATGTGAATGTTCACACAGTGTATGCACAGAAAGCATATCACTCCAGATTGAGTATGTTTCTCCCTCTGCAATATCCACAGTGGTTGCATACATATTCCATCTTCTCTCATACACAGCATGCACTAAAATTAAGTGTGCCCAACACCATTTCAGTTCCTTCCCAATCACAAACTCTCTTTACTGAGAAGAATTCAGTGAAGAGTCTTTAGGACCACTTTTAACCATATTTTGAACAAGAACTATACTCCTCTTATTACTTGAATGTTAAAAATCCTTTGTGTTAGTAGTACTGCAGGACCATTAAAACAAGGGCCACATCTGATTTGATACTTCCATAGTGGCATAGTGTTTGACACAGGTAGGGAGATGTCATTTGGCAAATGTCTCTGAGAACTCTGCAGCTTCATTTTAAGGATATGTTCCAATGAAAGACACTGACTGTTTCAGAAGGCTCTGAGTGTGTGTTGACACAAACTTTCAAAGTCTGCACATGAAGATAGCTGTTTTTTGGGGTCTGCCAACTATCAATAACAACTTGAGAATCCTTTGAAAGATCTATCTTGTTTATGTGCTCTCTTTTTATACCGATTGGTGGAAATAAATTTTTGAAGAAAATTACAAAAGGGCTTGCAATAGAGGGCATCATGTAGAAGCACTGATTGGAAGAGCCTCAATATCTCATACATATCACCACTGAGGAGATGACAGTCATCAGACAAAAGCAATTTCAAAATGTCAGAAGTCAAGCAGGTGAGGCAGAAGGCCAGCTTGGCAGAACAGGAATCTTTTCTTGGAGACAAGGCAAAAAGGAAGCTGCATGCCCAGTGGAAGCAAGGTCAAGTGACATGGGAAGAATTCAGAGATGTTGCTTGCCGCTGCAGGGAGAAAATTTGTGCAGCCAAAGCTCAACTGGAGTTAAAGCTGGCCAGAAATGTGGGGGACCATAAAAAGAGTTTTTTCAAACGTATCAATGGCAATAGGCAATATAGAAATTGTTAGAGCCTGTTACAGGATGATGATGGTCACCTCACAAACAGGGACAGAGGTGTTTAACACTTTCTTTGCCTCCGTCTTCAACACAGATGATGGACCATGGGGGTCTCAGTGCCCTGAGCTGGAGGACCATGACTGTGAGAATGATCAACTCCCAGTCGACCCTGAAATTGTGTGGGATCTGCTGCTCCAGCTGGATCCCTACATATCTATGGGGCTTGATGAGATTCATCCCAGAATCCTCAAAGAGTTAGCTGACATCATCGCAAAACCTCTCTCAATGATTTTTGAGCTGTCTTGGTAATCCGGAGAGGTCCCACCTGACTGGAAGCTGGTGAATGTTGTCCCAGTTTTCAAGAAGGGCAAGAAGGAAATTAAAGGCCTGTGGCTGCAAATAAATATCTTTAAATTCGTGAGATATGAAACCATTCCTTCCTATAACAATTGAACGCCAGCAGATATAGTCCCCATCTTGAACTTAAAAAGGAAGAATATTTAGATTTGTAGATAGACAGTTACCTTTCCTCTTCTCTACCAAAAAATATCTGCTTCTCATATCTGTGCTGCACAATGACAGGTTCTACAAATCTGAATAATAACAGAAAGTCTCCTTCTCAACAGCTGGCCTGGGTAAATTGAAATCCAATGATATCAAAGCTAACATAGGACAAATCCAGTTGAGGCTTGATCCTGAGAAAGGATGAATATTTAGATGGAGTCTTGAGAGTGCTGACATATATTTTGAGTGACATTACCAAACTGGAGAGCTACCTGAAGAAGACTACAGAAAAGAAAGAACTTGCCTCTGTGAATAACACTGACAGTCCATCAAAGACAAGAAAATAAGCTGTTACAGTACACACCAAGTGCTAATCCAGAAGCCTGGTGCCAGGGGAAATTTTGATACTAAAGAGAAGAATCCACTCCACTTATAAGCCAGAAAAGATAGTGCTATCTGATGATCCTTTAAGATGCCAGAAGAGGAACTGGTGAGTTAGACGAGATCTTCAGTCCTTTTAGCATTAAATGGGGGGACTACATTAGTTTCAAAACTGATGCTAAAGAAAGTATAATGACAGTGAGAAAAATGAGGGTGGATTAATTTTATTCAGAACTCATGCAAAGAGACACTTTGGTATTTAATGAAGATACAGAACATTTACAGTAATTTATCTGAGACTTCACAGATACCCTGCAACTGCAACTGGCTGGCTCAGTGCCAGAACAATACTGAAAGATTGGTCAGACATCGTGGGGCACAGAGGCTGCATCAGTCCGGAGAGCATGGTGAAAGGGAACAGGAACAATGATTTCTGAACTGTGATCTTTGGTGACCAATCCATAAGATGAGGCTTAGGTTTGAAAACTTGGATTGGTACTAAACACCAAGAGGCATGTGCTGAACAAGTAATTTGTGACTCACAAAAGCTATATGACCCAGGATTTAAAAAAGAACCCTTTTTAGTGGCTCCCTAAGGGAATCATAGCATATCTGGAATACTACGAACATGGAGTCTGAAAGTCTGGAATAAAGTACAATGGCTAGTCACACAACCCTTTTAAAAACAAAATAAGAATTTTTCAGCTATTTCAGGAGTTGATAAGAAGAGAGCACAAGTTGCACTAAGTGGAGTAATGACACAGCAAGTAACCACTGAGGAGGAAAGTATGGTACTGATAGAAAGGCCAAAGAAAGTTCCTGAGGACAGTACTGAAAAATGTGGATCAACTAAATTGCATGAGAAATTTTCAACACCCAACCACTGTGTCTCAACAAGAAAAAAAGAAACAGTATTATGAAGATCCTCTTTTACGTAGACTCATTCTAAATACAAGAGAGGAAAGCTGATGAACAGACACACACACTTGACTCTCCCCCAGGAGACTTGTAAAAGGAAAAAGTCATCCAGCCTTAAGTAATAGAACAGGTGCAATTTCACAAGTGTGCAGAGGCAGACTGTCACTTAGAGACAATTTAGTGGGCATGTCTAGAGGCTTAAGTGCTGGCCTGTTCACACTCTATCTTTTAAGACATTTGTTATGTGGATGCTCAGAAACTTAATCTTGAAGCTCACAGTAGTTTTAATGGGTCTCTGAAAGCAGGTCTGAAAGAGCACAGGATTCAGATGTATTAAGATTACTTTTTAGAGAGAAGTAAATGTGTATACTCCTTGCACGTAATGAAGTGACAAGATGAAAAAGGGAAGAGAACTACAGGAGACCAATTACTGCCTGGATCACTTAAAAGAAAATGTCCTTTTCTACCTTCAGTTGCAGTTGCATTCACATTCATCCATGGTGAACTTTAGAGAAGGACTGGCAGAACAAAGCATGTTTTTCTGTTGGGCTAGTGCTAAAATCATAATAACTAGAAATATATGTATTTTGGAAACAACTATGACACTATAATTTTTTAAGCCATTTAATCAGATCTTAAGTAGTAGGTAATATCAACAGCTGTACAAAATCTTTTGTCTTTCATTCTAATTAATGTTCTACATAGTAAAGATGTTTCTATAGTTCCTAATGTAGCTATATCTCAGGTCAGCTCATTGCTACACTCTGTTCAACTGAGAATCCCCACACAGAAATTGATGAACTTTTTAGAGTCAAGAGGAAGATATTCTGTGTCATAGTACACTCATGAGAAGCTAACACATCAGAACTAGAGATTTCAGGCTTTGATTTGTATTGTCAATAATTTGCTCAAAAGCATAGCACAACCAGTATTTCCAGAACTAACAATGCCTTAAGACAAATATACATCTGCTTGGTAAGACATATGGCAAGATGCTGAATAATGGATTTTCTGAATTAATGGAAATTGCTTACCTCATCATAATAAGCTCTCAAATCAGCTCTTTTAGATCGTAAGTCCCAGAACACGACAGTCCCATTTTCATAGCCTATCAACAGCTGGAGGAGGGAAACAAACACAGTTACAGTTTCTGAATCAGAAGGTATATACCAATATTGAATAATATGAAAAGAAATGCCAAAGTGATGTGCAAGATTGTAATCTGCTCTAGACATAATACCACGCTTTCAAATTATTTTTCGGTACAAATTACTTTTAACATGTGATATGGGAAAAAAAATGGCTTTACACACCTTTTTTTCCCCCTTGAGAATTATGTGCCTGGACAGTCTTCACAATTGCATATGTGCTGAAAAAATAAGATTGTAGCATGTACCTATCAGATCCTACCCTCCTTGCCCCTTGTTGGAGAGGAAAATGTTTGACACCTAACCATTTAAATAACTTCAAACCAAAATGTGACCAGATTAAACTCTCATTCAGCTACTTATATTCCTTTAATTTATGTCTTCTATTGCTTAAAAACATTTTGAAGAATTCTTCCTGCAGAGAATAAATTGCTTGCTTTCCTAATAATTAAAAAGTAATTAACTGATATGCCAATTTTTACTTCTTCTACATCATATCATTGTGCACACCTCAGAAACATCAGCAAAGAAGATTTGAGAAAAGATGAATGAGTAGAAAAACAATGCTCAGGAGAAAAATAAGAATGAACACAATCCTTTCTCCTTGTCTCCATTGAAAACAACTGAAATATTGATCTGGCACTGTAGAGTACTCTTCATTTGAACACAATTAATTTCAGATCTTATGGACGATATGAAGTCTAGCCTACTTAGATGTCCTGGAAATTGTTTCCCATAGAGTCTGTCTTCCTAAGAATCTATTCTGGATATGAAGACTGGAAACGACCAAACTGGCAGACTCACACATTTCTGCTGTAGAATATTTTATACAACTGGCAGTGATAGCTGCAGTTGTTCATTGCCTGTAAACACATGTATCACAGAATGCAGGCAAGAATTTAAGGTTTCTACATTAAGAATTTGAGCAGGAGAATGACAAGATTATCTCTTAGTCAGTGAAAGTTTAACAGCATCTTTGCTATCGCTCACTTTGGCTTGCATAAATCATAAAAATGAAACTTGTCTGGGCTGCTAAACAGAACACCACTTTCTTTCCAAGTATAGCTGATACATCATACTGCTACAAAAGAGCCTGGGAATACTCTCAGTTCTACTAGATATGATTCTTTATATTGCCAGGAGAATATTCCTTATGTGGAGAGGTAGTAGCTAATCTGGAAATTATTTACAGCTAATACCTGAATATAAACAATACCTGATTACTTAAGAGTTATGCTCCTGAAAAAAAATTAAACTGTGCTGGAGAAATTCCAGAATATTTAGCATTTTTGCTCTGGATGGGTCCATGTGGGGTTTTGTGGCAGAGTCAGAAAGCATGCAGCTAACTGGATGTCACCCATGTCAGAATGCCATATGGTATTCTGGGATAATAGGCTGCCCTTCAGAGAGTGAACAAAGGAGTGTCTTACTGCGGCTGCTCTCACTGTAAGTGTAGTGATCCCAAACGGAAGTCACTTGTACATCCAGGAGTTAGTGATCCACACAGCAGTTAACCTGAGTAGGTGCAGGCCTGTGCTGTGCTTTGTTGTGTTGCACACAGCAGCTGGCCTGCATTGTGCTGCACATATTCCTTGGCCACAAGATAAACGTAGCTGGCTAATTCTAAAGAAGCCTGTAGGCAGCTCCCATTTGCTAAGGGCAATTACAGCACCTTTGTGCCTTTGCCTTTCTCTTAATGTAAGGCAGTATGGCTCATGTGAACATCTTTTTGCTTGACAGTGGAAATGGATAGAGGGTTTTTTTTTTCCCCAAAAAAACCCTCTGAGATCTCCAAAGACCAAAATGCTGGCAAGCCTCTTCACAGAGGGAACTTAACACAGTGTGATGTGCTCTTACTAGGGGTTCATCCAGTGCTTTATGACTTGGGGTTACCACCATCCTTTTTGTATTAACTCCAAAAATGATATTTTAATCAATTTGTTATGGAGTTTGAGTGCCCTCCTTACTATCATCATAACAAACACTTGCACCAATGTGTTACAGCTGAGTACCAAACCAGTTGGTATCTACCAGTACTCTTTTCATCTCAGCTTTTGTACAAATATATTCAGAAAACTGAAGGAATAGAAAAATATTTAGTATGTGTGACCTGTTTCTTAATAACACTTTCTCCCTTGTGAAGCAAGCTTGTCTTTTGAATTCTGTCACTCTCTTTTCCAAAGAAATCATGCTCCAGCTAATTACTAAAAGGTTAAATACCTTATATCAGAGATCACATTTCACCTGATCTACTGCTGAAATGCTTAATGCGCAACAGCACTACAGAATGGCAAGATACAAAGTGTTGTGATTTCAGGGAGTAAACTGAAAGGTTAACAGATTTTCAGCATAGCCAGGAGTCTCTCTTTTTGTTCAGATGGTAGTCATGCTGCTTTACTACTAACACTGTGGTATGATGCTCAAGTCACAATTCCAACTGGGTGAACGTGGTAAGTCTCATTGCCAGTATATTTATGATGCTCTGGACTCTGACCTGGCTGAACCATAGGAAACTCAAACATTTGCACTCCCCTCAGCCAAGGTGATCACTTGAGAGATCTCTAAGACAAGCTTTACATTTGTAATAGAGGTAAAAAGTAAAACATCCATAAATGCAGTTGGAAGGGAAAACATATACAAAGAAGAAAAATACATGTATAAGAAGTCCAGGATGGAAACCCCCCCGAAGATTTCTCTTCAGCTTGTCTCTCCTGGCACAGTTTAATTCCTCATACTTTACTAGGTTATGAAACATGCAGAAGGCTGGACAGAACTTGGAGAGAGAAGACCTGGCAAGATCTTCCTTGTCTAGTGAAGTTGCTCCACGTCTTAACTTAAATCTTTTTTCATGAAATGCTTTTGATGATGGTATTGTAGAGATATTTCTCTTCTACAATCAACTAATTGCATCCTGGTACATACCAGCAAGCCCCTTCCTTGTCCTGGTAACAAAAAACAGTTGGGAGAAAAAAACCCAAACAAACAAGCCTGCCAAATGCACGCTGTATTTAGGTATTATTAGATCTCAGAACTCAGACTCAGAGATAGGAAGTTTAGTCCACCAGCTAATATTAATAACATTAAACCTTTTCCTATTAAACTTTCTCCATTTGCTGGGAAACTGCAGATCAGTGCAGTTAATGTCTTTTCCTTTGTCAGCAAGAAAAATCATGTTTGCTACAGATCTGCCACTTATAAATGTCTGTGCACTTCAGTCGGTTCCTAATGTACACTTATTCATTGATTTGGCAGACACAGTTATATTTAACGAATTTAATCACTAGGTCCCCAAATTGTTCTTCAGTGACACATTAAATGCCCAAATTCTCTTTGATGTCTGTCTTCCAGCCACAGCTTGCTAGATTCATAAAAGAGACTGTCTCCAAAGTCTGCCTAGATAGTTTGCCTGGAGGGCACTCTGGAAAAATGTTGAATGGCAGAAGTCTTCTGGAATTACATTCACTCTTTTGACACAAAGAACCTGATCACGAGTCACGGATATAAACTGGAACTTGAAGGAATTCCAAGAACTTTAATGAAAAGCATTAAGATACTGTCAGCACACAAATTTCGCTGGTTTTCAAAAAGAGATCTTATGATTGTCTTAGATTTGGAAAGGTTTGACTGTGTTTTAGGACTCTGAACCGCTCAGTGCACATAGGAGAAGTACTTACTTACTTCAGTGGAACAGTCCCAGATCTGTAAACTATTTTGTGATATCCCGGACAAGGATATACCACTGAACCCTTGCAGAGTACTTGTAGAGTAGTACTCTTGTAGAGAAAAGAATATCTGTATTTTGAGTAATGATTACAACTCATTTGTACCTACTATTTAATTCCTGAAACATATGCAAACAACACTTTCATCTGCTGCCTATCAGGAAGTGATGTGGGGAGTCTGACTTCTCCCACCAACACCTCTTGGTGGTCTTTGGTTAACTTGGAGCTGAGAAGCTAAGCAGACTATATAGACCTATCTTCAAAGAGCTCTAAGATAAACTTGGCTAAATTAAATAGAAGGTCTACCTGTCACAGTATCTTGTACTGAACTGACCAAGAGTAACTACCAAATAACAATAAGGGAAGAGGGCAAGTACTTGTCATACTCTTTCATATTCTCTCAGCCTAAGTAATTTTCTAATTCCAATATAGCCATCTCCCTATCTACACATGGCTCTGTTTAACCTTACCTTTATGAACTTTTTATGAGAATTCAGCAAACCTCTTCAGTTACCCTCAAATTGATTTCTCTTGTGTTAACTTTTCTAATCTTCTTTGTGACCAATATAAATTTTCAGCAACACAACAGCATTTGGACAAAGTTTTATAGCTTCTACCCATTGCACATATGAAAAAGTACTAAATTGGCTTGTTTGGAATCTGACTTGTCAGCTTCATTTGATATTCTTTTAGTTTTTGTATTGAAAGAGACCATGAGCTGTTTCCATCCTCTTCATATCACTGAGATTTTCAAACTTGGAATCACAATTAGGTCTTTTCCACAGTGAATTTTCCCATTTCACTAAGCTGTCTCTCATATAGAAAATCATGTTTATTCTCTTTTAGCACAATTATGTTCTTTTTAGATATAGAAGGAGAAGTATTACACTCAGTGTTCAGCGGCAGATCAGCTGTGCATTTCTTTAATAGCCCTGTTTTGTTCTCTATTCTTCTCCAGATAATGCCTAATTTTGATTTTCTTTATTGTTCACTACTGAGCATTGAGCTGAAATTTTCATTGAATTATCAATCATTACTTAAAGCTTTTGATAACAAACAGTAATCATCAGCTCAGACCCATTGTTTAATACATAAAGTCATAAATATTTTCCCCTTCACATATCACTTCTCATCATTTACACTCAATACTTGCAAATGACTTGCAAATGACCTCCCATTCTACTGCTGAGTTTCTCAGACTCCTAAAGGCCAGCGAACCTGATCACAGCACTGCTTACTCTGTTCTCTAGGCTATTTATGATGATGTTGAACAGCAAAATCCCAGAAGCTGGGGTTTTTTTTTTCATTTTTTCCTCATTCTGAATAATATTTGTTTTATTCTTCATTCTTTCAAACAAAGTTTATTGAGACTTAATTGAAAAATTTAGTTTAATATTTTTCTCTTCTGTTGGATTTTTTTATCTAGAGTTATGTCTTTTGATTTACTGCTTGGATCTTCTCTTACATCTGTGTGTACCTTTTACTGATGTCTTCCTGTAAACATCAAACACTAACAATGCCACAGTCTGCAAATCTGCAAGTATTTTGTTAGCACCAATTTGTTCTTTACACCACTCTCAATCTATCAGTGCTACAAAGAGATGCACTGGGACGGTTTCAGTATAGCTTACGTTTTCTACTCTTTCTCCCCATAAATTTTCAATCTTTGTTTTTCATAGGCATCTGTCTGATTTTGCTGTTGCTGTTAGTATGCTAGGAATTCATCATTGTCCAGATATCTCCCACGTGCCCTCTGAGCAACAAGCACTTGTATTTCCGAGCCAGTTCTCCTCTAACTCCCTTTCCTGACTCCTTTTCATCTTCTCTCTTTCTGCTGAAAAATATTTTTAGGTTTCTGTTTGGACACAAGTGCATGACATTCCTGTAAGAGATGTTCACTCACAACAGAACTTTTTCTTTTCATATCATTTTTCCTACACTGTGTACTTTAGGTACCCAGGTCATCATGAGCTTCTGTTGTTGCCAGCAAACAAGAATGATGCCTCATAAATAAACCTTTATTTTTTTCAGGTATTTTGCCATAGATAGTTAAATAGCATTTCTTGATGGCTTCTTGTTTGAGGCTAAAACACTACACTTCACAGTGTTTAATTACTTTATTTGATAGTATTCTAAATTGCTTGATCTATTGTGATTCTTCTAAAAATGCTTAGAGATCCCATATAAGTTGTTGGAGGGCTAGCTCACAAGCACACCATTTGTACATAGTTCACCTTGCAAAACGGATAAGTCCAAGGACACATAATGCAAATGAAAACCAGATGTAGTCATCAGTGCTTTTCTAGGTACTCATAATTTCAGCATAATATCCCCCATATCAGTATCAAAAATTCAACCTGCTGTGAGTTTCTAACAACCATCAGCTGTTATGTGAGGGACACTGTCAAATAGATACACCATTTTTAAGATGAAATACTTTATAAATACACAAAAAATGCAATTGCTAGAAATTACCAAAACCAATGAGAGAGTTAAAAACCCTTTTCCACATTGGCAAAATGTTAAAAAAATGAGTAGCAATGGATAAACGAAAAAGCTCTATTAAAACTGGTATTCTGTCGACCATATTTCAGCTGCCACACAAATAAAGCCAGCAAACTTCGATTTTGCTTCCTAGTGCTATCAGTCACAACCCTGATGCTCTATGTTTTGATTCCTACTATGGGCAGCTCTTTGTGAACAGAGTTGAGAACAGCAAACAGTAGCAACAGATGTAGATTACTATAGTTAAAATTCTTGTATAAGAAAAGAATTGCTATCTTATGTAAACTTACTATAAACTACTATAAACTCCTTGTCCAAGTACTGAAGTCATGATACAGTTTCCAGTCAATTCTTACTTATACCAAGTCAAGTTTATTTAATCATGAACAATTTGGATGGTTATATGTTTCAAAGTATAGTTTTTTGTACAAAGATAATTTTTTCTTAAAAACTGTAAAATAGTTAAAGTGAATTGGAAATATAGAAAGAAAGCAGATGGTAAAATTAGTGAGTAACCAAAAAGAAGGAGCTACCAAGGCAAATAAATGAAAGGCTATGAAATGTTGCAAAGTTTTATACCATTAGTTGTACTCACTTTTCCCTCATCTCTTGGGCTGTCACTTAAATGTACAACTGGACCAGGGTGAGTCTTTGTGGATCTGCAAGACAAAAATCAATTAAAATCTGTGAATTGGGTTTTTTTGTATGAAGAGCTAGATGCTTACCTTAATTTCTAGGTGTGTTAACATCTACCTCCAACAGTTTAAAAGTAATTGTAAAAAGCCCAACAGGGGAAGGTGAAGTTACTGACATCTTTTCAGGTTCTCCTCTATTTTTGCCATTATAGGCAAAGATTCTCCTTTGTCAATTAATCCTTTCTTCTGTGTTTTTTTTTTTAAATCTTACTATTCCTCCTATTACAATAATTTCCCCCCGCCTCCATTCTTGAGGTTTTTTTGCCTTTTATATTCTCTACTCTCTCTCGTTCTGACCCTCCCTCCTCATTTGCTCAGTTTCAAGGCTAATCTGCCAAGGATTTGCAAAGTCTTCACTGGATTCATTTAAAATATTTATAACATGACTCACCAAGTTCCAATCTCATTAATGACAGGGTTTCAGTAACCTCACCTACACTGCTCTATCGGGAGGCTTCTTAGCGTTATTACAGCGGGATTTCAGAAATGGAGCACCTTGCCTTTGTCTAATCTGTAGAGATTTATACATCTTTAGAACAATGAATACAGTTATAGCCACAGTGCACGTTTAGTGAGGCTCCACAGCCACAAGACCCATCCCACAAGTCTTGGTAAGCCTATATAAAGTTACTGTTCTTACCATCCCTTCTTTTTTTGTCACATGTACCAACAAGCTGTATGCAACTTGGTACAGGGACTGCTACTGAAAATTATTAATGTCTAGCACCTGACAGAAAACACAAATCATGTGCCAGAGCAGAGATTCCCCTGCAGTCTGTGGAAGACTCCACACTGGAGCAGGCGGATATTTCCTGAGGAAATTGCAGCTTGTAGAAGGACTCATGATGGAGCAGGAGAAAAGTATGAGGAGGAAGGAGAAGCAGAGGGGAGCTGTAATGGATCTACCAAACCCTTCCATTCCCCATCCCCCTGCACTACTCAGGGGGAAGGAGGTAGAGAAGTTTGGAATGAAGGAGGGGAGTTGACAACGTGTGTGTGGAGGGAAGACGTTTTAGGTTTTGTCTGTTTCTTGCCATTCTACTCTATTTTAACTGGCAATAAATTAAATTAATTTTCTCCAAGTCAAGTCTGATTTGTCTATTGACAGCAACTGGTAAGTGATCTTCCTGTCTTTGCCTTGACTCATGAACTTTTCCATTTTATTTTCTTTCCCTGTCTTCTTGATGATGGAGAGTGAGAGAGAAGCTGGGGGAGGGTATCACAACCAGCCAGGGTCCACCCACAACAAATTCCTTGATTGCTTCACAGAGGCCAGATTTGTTTATACACAGGTAAGAGGAAGTAAAGCGTCTATTAAGTTTGGCAGTCATAACATTAACTCTGTCGAGAAATGAGAAAGGATCTTTTTCAAATAGTTGCATATACTAAAACTAATTTCACATGTGCCATCATAGATAAGATCACACACAGATGACAACAGATGCTCCTGAAGCTTTTTGGAAGTGTAGAGCATATTCCCTGGCAGTCCTGCACTGCCTTTTTGGGGCTCCAAGAAACATTGGTCTTTTTTTTTTCATAGCAACTGAAGTTTTTGCATCGAAACTGATTCCCCTTTGGACTACACAACAAGGAATATTCACAAGATGCAGCACAAAGTCTGGGGTTTGTTTTTGGGATGAACCTGCACAGTCCCATCTTGGGAGAGAGATTTGTGGGAGGATAACCTGATACGAAGTAACATGAGTTTGGATGCAGCAAGGAAGAAAACTGTGCATGAAAGGACTGCAGCTTCCTTCATTCTACACGACCTTTTCCTTGTTACTCTGAACCTGCCCTATGACTGGATACAGAGGGTGTGACATGATAAATCTTCTCTGGTTTGCTTCTCCTGAAGTGATGTCATCTCCTTTCTAGTACAGGACTGTGGCTAGGAACCCATATCCAATCCTTGGTGCCACACTAATACCAGAAATAGTCTGCCAAAGCCAGATCAGTGCTTTACCACTTGGCTCTTCTTGTGTCCTCAAGTAAGGTATGGGTAAACAGAAACAATAGCAATATCTTTTGGATCCCTAGAGAAGTGTTGCTTGTAAAAGGAGTGCCAGGCATTGGGCTCTACGGTCAACTTCTCCCAAGGGTAGACATCATGACTGCACTACAGGCAGGATTAAATGAAGCAATTATTTAGTTAACTATATTATATCAATAATATTAGTTTATAGAACTTGTGAAACACTATCAGAGCTACAGATACAGTAATTACTACTTTCATACAGTAAATTATGCTGCACGTGAAAATGTCTACACACAAAAACCATTTTGCCTGAAGTAGTTTCAGTACAAATAAAATGTTCCATTTCCCCTCATTGCTATTACAGTAGAGTTGTCAAGGAGGCTGGAGAGTTGTACACTGTCATTGTGGAACTGCCTACAAAGAAAAAAAACACCACTGAAGTATATTATATGCAAAACCAGAGATCCAACAGCTCCTGGAAAGGATGAGGTGGTGCTGGAAAACCTACCATATTTGCAGCTACCATGAGTAAAGCACACTGCTGTTGATGCCAGATACTCAAGTATAGTCATTCCTTCAAGCTGGCTTTGGGAAACTGCATAAAAACTAACTATATCCTATTCCTTGAGAAAGAGGAAAATACAGAAGAATCAGTAGGTGAAAATAAGGCATAAGTGAAATAGCTGAACAGAGAATTTTTCATTCCCAAATAGTAGCTGGGGTATTGAGTAGCTGAGAATGACTGTGAAAATAAAAGCTCTGAAAAGACACAAGAAGGATAAAACCTGAAGCCAAGTCCATACATAGAAAAAAAAAAAAGAAAAGAAGGTCAAGTCCAAAAAATATCAGCAACGATTTGCAATAAAAAATTCCCGAGACAAAAGCTACCTTCAACTGAGCAAAAAGAAAGTATGAGCTAATGATACAAAAGTTTGCAACATTTCATAGCCTTCACTGACCTTTAAGTCCACAAAAACAGACTGCAGAACTGAAAAATGGAACAAAAGATTCCCATGACAGCTGTACAGAAGTAGAAGTTTGCTAAGAAGCTACTGATACTTTGAGCTGTTTTGCACTTCATTAGAAGTTATTCCTGACAGCAGCAGCTATTAATTTATTTGGTGCATGTTCATTTTGGGAGATGAGAGAGTGGGTATGGTGTAAAATTTAACTCTTACTCAGAACAGGACTGAAATTAAGAAACCATTCACTGTAAAACAGCCTTCAAAACAGTCTTCATTGTAAGGATGGAAGCTTTTATTTAATTATTTTATTCTAAAATTAGAAAGCTCAAAAAGAAGTCTTTGGCAATGTTATAATCTGGACCCAGTAAAATGTGGAAAATATGTAGATGATGTATTCCTCAATCATCCTGGGACATTTCATGCACTCTAAGAAATCAAATTACTTAAATACTCTTGTAAGAACTTCAAATACTGAGACAACCTTTAAAGCAGGCAAAAGTAATCTATGACAAAATAGACTCATATCAAAACAGTTCTCCTTTTAAAATAAAAATAGCCTGCACAATTATAGAAGTACTGTGATTATTTCTGAGAAGAATGAAAACTTGATTTTAGAAAGTGATAGAAGACGTTAGGAGAGGGAAAAAATGAAAACATCTATTTAGTCATTGCTATGGAGTTGAAGTTGACTGAATGTGACAGTGCTGAGGAAAACATATGCATAAGCAGATACTTCTGTAGTGTCAGTAGTCATACATCTTCTGCAGCTGTGCTTTCCACAAAGGTGCAGTGCACCAGGGACTTTAAGACCTTTTTTCATTGGTAGAGCCACAGAGAAATTTAAAAGAACAAGTTAGACTCATCATTGCCATACTGTGAATCAAAGCTGGGAACTGAAGTAAGTAAGAATCAGTTCAACCCCAAGATGCAACTCTGAGTCTTAGACACACTTTCTAAAATATCCAGAAGGATGCCTTGTAACTTGTGTTTTTTTAATATTAAAAACTGCATCCATTTGGGTCTGCACACAGAAAGGGTGGTGGATTCTTCCAGACTGTTACTTCTCCTCCTGTGTGCTGCTTTCCCTCACTCCTCTGGAACTGCTGGCTGTGAGTCACCAGTGTAGGAAATGCGGATAGCAGAGAAAGGGCTAAGAAAGGAAATACCACCTTACGGCTCTGCCATAACTGGGCTCCAATTTGCCCAATTCTTTGATACTTCAAATTCCAAAAATTTTGCCAACTTTCAGTTATTCATTAATTAGATAGTGGAGTGTTCAAACACTGGAATCTTACTGGGAACTTATAATACAGACTTTTCATTTTTGGAGTTCAGTGGACTCATATTAAGACCTTCTTTTCCTTTCCAACACCAGATGAACTTCCAAAATGTATGATGCTGCTGTGAAAATCAATCTCACTGTAGTTGGAGTAAATGGAGACATGCTGGGCTCATTGACTATTTTTCTCTTCCAGGTCTGTTTCCAAACATTAGGAGGGAAAAGAGAGAAACTGTTCACTTATTAGACAGCAGAAAAACAAACAGTATCATGAGCCTCTAACACCTCTGGCAAAGGACTAGCTCTGCTACATGACAGAGAAATGACCAGTGAAAAAGTTTTGAGTTATTAATTCTTAGCTGAAAAGGTGCTTCAGTGTGGTCTGAAGCAGTGATAATGCATGAGATGACAGAAATGCCTGAGACAAGAATTGGTATCCATATGCTTGTGTCCTTTTTCAGCTCTGGACAAGGCCAGGTCCACTGAGACATAGAGAGTGCACATGATTTAAGAAAGAAATTTTTGCTGTATCTTCTAGAATCAGTTATGACTCAGCACTGAAAACACTCTAAAAAAAATTTAATGTTTCCTTTGCATTATTAGTCTATTCAGGCCTTAATTTCTCACTAACATTAGACTAATATTAGACATTGTTTAAGATAGCTGAATAATCTCTCCTACTTAAGAAGACAAAAGTCCCTAGGATAAAATAGGTATTGCAATCATCTTTTTGACATATATCTCTACTAGATGCTCCTAAACAGGTCATAAACCCACCATCACTCAAAAATATAGTGCTATACAGATCTTTCAGTATATTTTGATAAAAAAGTAGGCAATAAAATCACAAATGGTAACAAAAAAACCTGTACCAAAAGCCAACTTTGTAAGTCAAAGTAGCCATGCAGGACAAGGTGATCAGATTTCTTGCATCATATGCAAAGTCTAAAAATGTTACATCCAAACCTGTTTCTCCTTCAAGTCTTCAAACTACCATGCCTCTTCACCCGAGTCTTTCACTGTAAGAGAATCACTGTAATAAAAACAATTCTTGCAGTCATTTGATGGGCCTCACTGACTCAGGTTTGTTTTTTTCCTGAGGATGAGGGTTACGTTCTCTGGAATGAATTAATGTCGAGAAGTGTGATGAAATTCCTTGCGGGGTTGAAACATTGGTAAGTCCATGAACAGACTAAAATGAATTGCTGTATTTGTTCTCTATGTTCCATTTTTTTTTCTCTTATGCAATACCATCTATTATATTGCTTACTGAGCAATGTCATCATGACCTTAAAGGAACAAACCTGGTCCATGATGAAAGTCTAGAATGCAACTTATAGGTGTTTTCCAAAGGTGGAAACGGTCACACAAGTATCAGAATACCTCTCCAGGTTACCTTGCCCATAGTGTTAGCAATGTATGTGGAGGCTCTCTTCAACCATGCTCTAAAGAACTCAGAGAACTGGAATTTCAACTGGGTTTTTTTTGTATTCTTACAAAATGAGCTATAATCTGTTTTTACAGTGACTTAGGTATGGTAATATGTAGTTTAACATTACAAAGTCAAAGCATTTCAGTTTTTTAAAAAAACTAACCTGTTCAATCTCCTATTTGTTTTCACTGTAAAGCCTTGAAATCCTAATGACAACTGAGTTAAAGCTGCTTTATGAAAATTCACAGAGATTTCATTAGAAGTGGATACAAGTCAGTATAGAAAATGAGGAGTTTTGTAAGAAAGACAAGAACTGGCTGAGAGTTGCATGAAGAGGGATGAATTCCAGGCTTGTTTGAACACATGACACATGAACCTGACACATTAAAAATTTTGTTTAAAAGCACTCCATCTAAACTAAAGACTTGAAAATAGCAGGAGAACAATGACTTTTACTAGTCTTTTCTTGACAATAAGTTTGACAGAAATGTTTGTGCAAAAGGTGAACTCTCCCCTTCCAACCCTTATAGAGAATAGTAACATCTTCAAACTAATCTCATGCTCTGAAATTATATAATCTATCTCGGAATTAAAAACGTTACCAGCACTATTGCCTCTTACATCATTCATAGTAAGGTTTTCAGGTTTCCCTGAAGTTTATATACATATGTTTTCCTGTTTTCTTTCATTTTTGAAAGTACCTAACATAACAGGCCCTATGAACTTATACAGTCCTGAACAACCCGGTCTTTTAGCAGATCTTACTGTGAGCAGGAAGTTGGTCTGGAAAATTCCAGAGGAGCCTTACAACATGAGCTATTCTATGATTCTATCATACTAAAATGTGAAAAATATGTGAAAATTGTGTGAAATTAATGCAAAGATTAAAAAAAGATTATCAAGTCAGAATATATTCATGGCTCAAAATAAAATTTTTCTCAGTACTATTCTAAAGTAAAGTCTACTATCATAATCTCATCATCATAAAGTACACTTAAAGTTCATAACATTCCCTTTAGAAGCTAATCTAAGTTCCATTTCACCTACCAGAAAGCAATAGTACTGGAAGAGACATTATAGTTTATTACCAGAGAGAGTTCAAATTACTTTACTGAGAAAAGTCACCCAGTTTCAACTTCAGCATCTATAAAAGGTGGTTACTGTGGCAAACGTCACCATTACTCCCACCAGCCTCTTACTCTAATGCAGAGAAATTAATCTGGAGACACAGAGGATCCCATGTCTACTTGTGTAATATATGCAAGGATGATGTCCTTGATTCCATAGCAAGAAGTACATGATGAGATTGAAGGGAGAGGATACAGCCTTTTTAGGTAAGCACATTGCTTACAGGGATCAAGTTATACTGGTAAGGCTGGTAGAACCAGAAGCAGTAATGAATGAATACCTATGCTGAACTGTCACCAAAACAGTAATGGCAAACTAGCTTTTTAGAAAAAGAATCTATTTTGGTAACCATGAAGCATCTCCAAGTACTTGAGGTGACAAGGCCTATTTATTATGCTGCCATTACCTTTCTCAATTTATGGAAGAAAAATTTTGGGAAATCTAGGTATGCTCCTACATAGACAAAACAAAGTGGACAGTTAAGAGAGGCAGCTTGCTTCCTTAAAGGTTCTAGAGAGGTATCTTATTTCTCAGCACCTAGTCTATGCCAACAACTCGGTACTGAAGCTTGCTAGAAAGCAGCCCTTTTTTCCCCACGCACTGAGAGGCATCATTCTATTCTGTTCTCATGAAAAAGGTTTGTTGTGGCCATTAAAAAATTAAAAAAAGATTTATCCCAAATAATTTTTAAAGAATTAGGAGGTGAAATTTGGTGTAAGGCTTCCAGTCCATAAAACTCCAAGATTTTTTTCTATACAGAATAGAAACATCCTGATTTCGGGAGGAAAGAAAATTGTAAATGCACACAAACCAAAAATTGTTCTCAAAATCTTAAAGACATCATTTACCTACTCAGTGTAATATATATATATACATTTTAAAATACAGGAATCAATACCCCCTCTAATATGTCAACGTCCTCAAAACAAAGTGAGAAAGAAAAAATAATTAAGATACTTCTGACTCCAAAAAAATCATCAAAATGAATATAGTGTGGTTTTAGTTAAACCACATTTTCCAAAAGCATTTTTTGCAGCCAAAATTACTAAGCAGAGCTGAGGAAAGTCTTACAAGGGTAGAACAAACACTCCAAAATTTAGAACTGGACTGTAGATTTACCAGCAGACTGAATCCTGATTGCATTTGAATCCATGGGTTTTTTCTCCTTTGAAGGTAAAATTACATTTTTATGACTGTGCCTATGAAGTTTGGTGGGGAAAAAGGGGAGGAAACAAAGTGAGGCATCAGTGAGACATCTGAGGGACAGAGTGATTAGTCAGTAATAACAGTGGGGAAAGAAAAGGGAAAGGGAGAATTTTTGAGAATTGCAGTTGCTACCAATGTGATCTCTGGTTGGGACAGAGAATTAGATTCACAGCCTGTAACCCTAGACCTGTAACCCTATTCTTAGATCCTGTTCTCTTGGTTCACTGAGACTGGTGAATTTCAGTTTACTACCAGAGGTTACAGGTAGTTACAACATGAAGCAGATGTTCCAGAAACTACATTAAGTACTTTGAGCTTTCTCACAGCAGTTCCTCTTGCTGGAATTTCACAGAGGAAACAACAGAGAAAGAGGTTTTTGTTTCTGTTGAGGTTTTTACTTCCAGGAAGCACAGATTTATCCTACTCAGGCTTTTATATGTCTCCCTCCATTTCATACCCACGACAGGAACCTGGCTTAGCCTGTCAGAGAACTATCATTTAATAGGCACTCACTACCTTTCCTATCACTTCATCAGGTTTTGATGAGTCTGATTTAACTTTGAAATAGGCACTGTGTTGAGCAGGAGACATGGTCTAGAGACCTCCAGTCCCTTCTCATCTAAATGATCCCACAGTTCAATGAAGAAAAGCTCTCCACAGAGTCTTAGTGCCAATATACTTCATTATTCTTTTCATAGAATGGAGGAGATGGTGATCAAGCTACCCTCATAAAAATAGCAAAATCTGAATTTTGGAGATTAATGATTAGCTGTATCTCATGGAACCTCATAGCTAAACAGATTGTCAAATAACTTTTATATAAAATATAGTTACATGGTCTCTATCATAAATCTGAATTCCTAATGTCCTGGAAAAGCCCTGTTAATACTGCAAATGCACTCCTTGAAATAAAAGGCTTTCAAAAGATTTGTTAATATTTGTAAAAACAAGTATTTCTTAAAAATTATTCTTAAGACAGCTATGAAAAAGACCACAGACACAAATGAAAGAAAATCTGCACTTACAGTTCTATTGCCTTGTTCCACATGATAACATATCCCGAAAGAATGAAGGACTCAATATTTACAATGTGTGTATTTCCCCTCTCTGTTCCAACATACAGCCATTTACTTTGGAAAGGTAGATGGCAGTAAGTAATCCTGGAAAGGAAAAAAAGAAAACATCAAAAAATTGTGACCGACTATCATGTCAACAATATTTTTTAACACTTTTACAGATGAAATAATTATTCTTTTCATTTTATAACTTGAGAAGAACATGCCCAGCGGGTGTAGCATTCTGAAGAATGTGCAAGTTTGGGGGGTCATCTCCAGAAAAATCACAAAAGAGAACATGAAACAAAACAGGGCCATCCTGTCTGCCTATATTAAGGGCTGGGGAAAAAGAGCCATATCACTTGAGCACTGAAGTAAGTCTATCTCCATGATACATAAATTGCACTTTGATAGTATCCAAGACACTCGAGTTGGGTTTTCTTATTTCCTTTCTTACAATAAGCAATTTTTCTAGATGAACAAACAGAAGTTAATGGATGTCAGTGGGATTCATGTTTTGTACAACAGAAGTGTAACACCATAATTCACACAAGTAAACATTCATTTATTTGGTATCTGGGAGAGTAGTGCCCTAGATAAAAGCATTTATCAAAACTGAATTACCATAGAAGACACACTCATATTATTCTTACAAGATGATGAACCGATGCTTTATTATCTTGGAAAGATGTCATAACAATTTCTCATGATAATACATAAAAGTTTTCACAGATGATGAATGAGTAGATTCAGGTTTCTTTCATATTTTAGTTATATAGATATTAAAGCAAAACTACATCTATATGAGATAAAAAAAACATTTACTACTAAAATACAATGGAATGCATGCTACCTACAGAGACTGAAACTTAATCCAATCTTATGATACAGACTGGTGAGTTTTGACAAAAAGCAGTTATTTTGCTTGGTTTGCCATAGGTTATTATATTTATCATTCATTTCCACAAGCAGGCTATTTTTCGCTTTTATATATAAACTTGATTTTTTTTTTCATTCTTAACACTTTCCACCACTACCAAAGTAAAAACAGTATTTAAAAACATACGTATTTAAAATTTTTCATTCTTATGGTAAAGCAATCTTTCTGAATGTATTATAGAAGAGTGAGAGGAGTGTTGATTCAAGTGAGACTTAAGTATGATAAAGGTTTGTTCTATCCACCTGTACAGGACTAAATTTTACCATTAGTTGTCTAATTTTGGCAATAATTCCCATGCCTTTAGTGGAAAGAGAACTAAGTTTTTTGAGATAATTGTTTTGAGAATGGGGAATTATATTTTAGTATGTGTAACTGAAAATGCCTTCAAGCAGCAACATAGTACTTATAATGTGGGTGCAGTCAAATCAACACATGTCCAACAGAAACAGTTGCAGAAGGTATATGACACCTACGTGTTCCTTACTGGAGTTAAAGCTATTAGCTTTATTGTTCTGTTTATAACAGGTGCAAAGAATAATTTGCCCTTTTCACTTTGTAATTTTACAAATGCAAAGTTGTTTTTCTCGTATGTCCTGATCCTTCTCCTTAAACTCCAATTCTTTTGCTTTCTCTTCAGGTGCACCATTTCCTACACTGCTGGTCAAATTCATATTTAGTCCAGTTTTTTCTTTCATTTCTATACTAGCTCTTCTTTTCTTTCTTGCACTGCAAAGCATATGGATGCTTTGTTAGGTCCCAGCCCATAGAAGACTTCCCTGGTTGATAAGCCCTCTTAAACATTTATGTTTGCTCAACACTTGCTTGTAGTAAACCATTAAATTACAGGAAGAGAAAATATTTTTGACTTTGAAAGTGTTGAAAATGTGTCTGTTCTAGGGACTGACAAAAAAACTCTTGAGTTACAAAGTGAACCCTAGTTAACTTGAAAGCTGCTACTCCAAATGCTTGCAGTTGTGTCATCAGACTAAGCAGGTTCAAGTCCACTTAGGACAGTATTATTTTTCAGTATGGGGTACTGCAGAAAACTTGGTCTCTGATATTCAAGACTGAATCCAACACCTTGATTATAAACAAAGTTTCAAAATCATCTCAGACACCATATGAGATTGCTTTGGGCTGCTTTTTCTGATCCTTGTGAGTCCCTTTCAACTCAGCATATTCTGCGATTATGTGATTCTCCTTTTTGAAATTTGCTTCCAGGTTATGATCTCCCTATCAGACTATGTCGGTGCCTAAATTCCCAGATATTGCATGTCCTCTATTTGCCTGCCTTAGGTTAAATATTTCAAGATTATAATGCTCTAAGAGCAAGGTCCTACAGAAAGAAAAGTTGGACTAAAGTATTAACCACTAATAAGTAGTTAGGCCATAAGTTACTAGACTTAGTTTCCTGCTGGCCTATCTGAAATCCCAGACACCAGTTGGTACTAAGTCTGTATATACAATATGAAGGACCAAAAGAGAGTTAGATATTGCTAAAGAATGAAGAAAATGACCACAAATTTAAATATTTTCCTAAGCTCAGCTACTTCCTCTTAAATAATTTAATTTTGTTTGAACAAATTTATGGGACAGTCAGACAAGAAATTAATCTGCATGCTGTTTCTTCCACAAAGAAAACTACCCTGTGAGTCTTCATTGTTTAACCAAACTGTTATTAGACATTATGAAATACAACCTTCTACAATATGTGAGCTTATAAGAAAATGCTATTCCCTTACAGACAATCCAGATATGTAACAAACCTATTAGAGCATAGGGGTTACTAGGCATTTTAATACAATATATTGCTAGGTTTCACCAAACAAAGCCATATGATTTTCATATTCACAGGAAACTCTGCACTTCCCTGAGGCACTTTGATTTTACATTATGTAAATTAAATGCAAACTGCTTTATGTATTATTGACTTTTCACTTTTACAGAAAACATTAACTTGACTTTGAGGCTTGGAAGCTTTGAAGCAAGACTCAGATTTTTAACGAACATCTTCCATTTCAGTGAGTACTGAAATTACATAATGATTTCTTCAAGAGAAAACAATGAAGTCTCATACTGCAGTTTTCACTGTGGATGAAAGGCATTCTATTATATGATTCCATTAGTCATATATCCCACAAGCAAATTAAGATGTCCTTTGATGCCTTTACAAAAAAGAGTCAATAAGCCAGAAAGAAAGAAAGAAAGGTTGTTTTTCTTCTTAAGAAGGTAGGGGTTGTAGTAATTTGTGATGCCAGGATGAAGTGCTTCTGACAAAATTTAATCACATTGTCAATCTGATCGAGATAACATGGAACCCAATTAAATGGAGACCTGAGAATTTGGTCAGTGTTGATCACTTAACAGAAAGTCAGAAATGAGGATATTATATATGCTTAGCAGCAAGCCACAATATGAGTCTCATTGATCATTATAAGAAATAGTAAAAAACATTAATTGATACCAAAAAGGTGTTTCTATTCTGCCAGACTAGTCTGTAACATTGTATTGTTTTTCCAATGTATTCAAAGCACAAAACAGGATATAGAATGTAATATTAAAAAAAAAATCAAGAGGTGTTAAATAAAACACCTAAATCACAATTTATGAAAAACTCTTTTCCTAAAGTCCTGAAAACACTTCCAAAATTATGTAAGCAACATAAGAAAGAGAATGGAATAACTGAAAGCGGTATTGTCAAAAAATTGAACCTCATTTTAGAAAAGAATCTATTCTGACTAGCAAATCTTGAAAAGATATATTTTTCAGCAAATCACAGCACTTTACAGTCTAACAATCGTGGCCAAAAAAACCTCACTGTATATTAGTAGAATACCACAGTGTTAAAATAATTTAGAGTGCTAAATTCTCTAAAGTACTAGTAAAAACTCTGAGATTACTTAAAATCATCTTTATTTTATTACATTAATCTTATTTCTCAACAAAAAAATAAACCCCCAATTTGGATAACACTTTTTTCTGCCTCTGCTTTGTTATTTTTGTTTTCTTAGTTTTAGTATGAAAAATTTTGCTGGAACACTATTATTGGTGGAAAGTGAGGAGAGCTGGTGAAGGGGGGGGAGCAAAAATTGCATTTTTGTCAAAATTATAAACAGTTTTTCCAATTTAATTATTTAATTTCTTATTCCTTGATATCAAAACTGCAACTAAATTTATATGATGCCTTTTCCCTTTATAGAGGTAATCTTAAATATGGACAAGCATTCAACATGTGTAGCTCTTATGCCCAGCACTGACTGGAAGAAGAGTTCAGTTTCTGTAAGTTCCTACAGAAAACAAACATCAGCTTGAACTCTTTCTCAGAATCCTACCAAAATAAACTACACTGTCCAGGTTCTCAGACAATATGGAAATCTCACAGATTTACAGCAAAAGAAAATGGCGAAACATAAAGGAGTGTTAACTTGGGAATATGAGGAGCTGACAGGAAGCAAGTCCAGTAGCTGCAAGGCACACCAGTTGTGGTCCTGGGCTAGCTCTCTGCTCCCTGTGACTACTGAGGTACCGCCACTGTCTTACATCCAATTTACAGTGCATTGTCCCAGCATGGATGAATTCAGCTGCTGAGAAAGCTGATCACCTTCTTAAGTAGGTTATGCAAATCAGAAATCTACCTTTTCATTACTGTTATCATGGCTTGCCTCCTGACTTGAGGAATTTTCTTCAGAATTCTCTGGTACTTCCAGTACTCTCCTCTAATTTATGCTGTTTCCTTCATCTGGTCATAACCACAAGCTGTTCTCTTGCCACCTGATAGAACCATCATTCCTGGTACTAGCCAGTGACTGGCTGATGTTCTGTCAGGTCCTCTTTCAAAGCAGGTCTTTTTTGAGAGGAATCTGTGGCCTGTATAGCCTTCAATGAATATTGACAACAGTGGAAAACCACTGCATAAGCCCTTCTCTTCCTTCTTGACTTCTGCAGGATTTCTTCTCCCCAACAGTGGAAATTACAGTTGCTGAGGGTGTCTTGTGACTTTCTATCAGTCCTTGTCTCCCTCCTTTCACCCAACTAATTTTCTTCCCTCATACTCCCTTAATGTTTTGGTATTTTTGAACAGTAGTAATACAAAACAAAGAAGACCATAGTCTTCTAGTGTCCCTTCTTCTCCAGTAGCTTTCTGAAGTAGCTTCTGGATAGCCAG